GTTGATTGATCTAAGAGACAAGCAAGACAAATATGAACACCATTTTTTATTAAAATACTAGCGCGTGTAAATAAAGCAGATATAAATAGGAATGCGTGTTTGTGTAAATACGTTAGTAAATATAATGGTTGTATTGTCTGGTGTGGGTTAACAACGAGCATGAGTTTGTTTTGTGTGTGAGGCTCGCAAGTCCACTTCCAGACTCAGTGGTGTGGTGGAAGTGTGGTGGGGGTTGTGGGGGGGCGAATATCATAGAGAAAGCATTGATGGAGTGTCACTTTTACTCTTTACACAAGTCTATCTATACTTCCGCGGCTACCTTAAATGATGTGAACAAGTGTGTCAAGAGGTATGTATCTATGTGATACTAAGATTCACATCTCTCAAGTTGGTTTGTCATGCAGGAGTTGCCAATTTCAGTCTGCCTGCCTGCCTGCCTGCCTGCAGCGACAGATTTTAACTTGTCTATGATGTGGTCGTGACTGGAATGAGATGAGAATTGACACTAGCAGAAAATCCTTTATGCTCGGCAGTTCCCGCGTTGCAGTAACTTTATATTTTCCATCTATTGTGTGTTGCGACGTTGGAAGGGTGTGACTGGTCTGGGATTGTCTTGTTGGGGGGGGGGGGTTTGTTTGATGTTGTCTCAAGGTTCATTCATTGTGCAGGATGATTTTGACAATTTACTGGGAATAATTATATTTAGATAGGCTATACTTGATATTTATTATTAGGCTATACTTGATATTTATTATTAGGCTATACTTGATATTTATTATTAGGCTATACTTGATAGTTATTATTAGGCTATACTTGATAGTTATTATTAGGCTATACTGATATTTATTATTAGGCTATACTGATATTTATTATTAGGCTATACTGATATTTATTATTAGGCTATACTGATATTTATTATTAGGCTATACTGATATTTATTATTAGGCTATACTGATATTTATTATTAGGCTATACTGATATTTATTATTAGGCTATACTGATATTTATTATTAGGCTATACTTGATATTTATTATTAGGCTATACTGATATTTATTATTAGGCTATACTGATATTTATTATTAGGCTATACTGATATTTATTATTAGGCTATACTGATATTTATTATTAGGCTATACTGATATTTATTATTAGATATGCTATGCTGAACGTAGATTATGCTTGACAATATATCCCCGAGATAAACTGTGAGCCATAGGTTTGGCCAAAAACAAATTGCTTGGAATGATCCTGAATGTAATTCTTGTTACTCCTATGCTGCGAGATTTAATGTAAATTTATTCCTGGTTAGTACATAGTAAATAATGTATTGGTAAAAACTTGAAACACGATGGAGAGATGGTAATTAAGTGCATTGAAACTGTACTCACCTAGTTGTGGTTGCGGGGGTTGAGCTTTGGCTCTTTGCTTTCGCCTCTCAACCGTCAGTCAACTGATGTACAGGTTCCTGAGCCTACTGGGCTCCATCACATCTACATTTGAAACTGTGTATGGAGTCAGCCTCCACAACATCACTTCCTAGTGCATTCCATCTACTAACTACTCTGACAATGAAAAAGTTCTTTCTAATGTCTCTGTGGCTCATTTGGGTACTCGCTTCCACCTGTGTCCCCTTGTGCATGTGCCACCCGTGTTAAATAATCGATCCTTGTCTACCCCTGTCAATTCCCCTGAGAATCTTGTTTATGGTGATCATGTCTACCTGAGCTCTTCTGTCTTCCAGCGACGCGAGGTGCAGTTCCTTCAGCCTTTCCTCGTAACTCATGCCTCTTAGTTCCAGGACTAGCCTAGTGGCATACCTCTGAACTTTTTCCAGTTTCGTCTTGTGCTTTATAATGTACGGGCTCCATGCCGGGGCCGCATACTCCAGGATTGGCTTTATATACGTGGTATACAAGGTTCTGAAAGATTCCTTACACAAGTTTTTGAAGGCAGTTGTGATGTTAGCCAGCCTCGCATACGCCGCCGATGTAATACCGATACGTAATGCCACCCAATGCGTTGAGCCTGAGGTATTGGGAACTCACCTATTGGAGACACACTAAGACAGTGAAGGATGGGGGGGGGGAGGTTCGACAAGCCGCTGGGTGCCCGTCCTCGTCGAGGCCACTATAGTGTGTTAGTGGCCCTCGGGTATATTGACATTCTTTAGAAAGGGGGATATGATTGAACTGTACAAATGAAGGAATCTTAGGTCTAAAATTATCAACTAAGAGCCTAAACACGATTCAAATGGATTTAAATGGGATAAATTTATATTTAGAACAGAAACAGGCAAACGCTGAATCGGAAATGAAGTTGTAGAAGTGTTGATCAAGTTATCTTTGTAACATCATAGAAGCGCCCTGCTGGGAAGTTTGAAGCATGGTTTAGTGTGATACACGACTGGTTGTGGCTGGATACGGGCTGCCCGGCGCTAGAGGTCCAGCAGGTATTGGCGTGTTCGTATGTTAGTGTGGGCAGGAACACCGTTATCGTGGGGGTCAAACTCCTCTCCTGGTTATCGGCTGATATCTAAACACGGTATGAGGTTGGTTATATATTACTCAATTTCTGGGTTTCGCATGATCGTTCCGACCAGTTTGTTGTAGTTACCCTACGCTGTCATTCGTGAGGGGAGGGAGGCGGGTGTTTCTTTTTGGATTGATTGATGAAGATTAAGCCACGTAAGAGGTGGCACGGGCATGAATAACCCATAATTCTTTTTGAACGGGGGGGGGGGGGGGTGCTGCTTTTAGAGCCGGGTGCTTCTAGGGTAAGAGGACGTACGTGCTGTTGAAGGGCTGGATCGTACTATCTGGGAGCAGGGCGCTTGCTTCCTGGGATGGAGTTGTTCTCTTGAGGGGAGGGGGGATGGTGGGTTATCAGGCGAAAGCGCCAAGCCATTATGACTGCCCACCTCCTTAGGAGGGGAGGAGGGGCTGGCTGGGAAAGATGATGGGTGGAAGAGCGTGAGGAAAGATGGGTTAAGTGCTGGGAAGGTTGTATACCATCACTTCTCAAGCAAAATCATTATTTCAAGGTAAATAGACAGTCGCCACCGCAAATGTAATCGTGTATATTAGGGCAAATTACCTGGTTGTAAACTCCTCGAGCCGTGTTTGTAGAGCAAGGTCACTATACCTTCCCCCCCCCTTTCCTCATCCTCTACTACCCCTCCCCCCTCTCTCCCTAATCTTCTACTGTCCCCCCCCTTCCTAATCCTCTACTTTAACTGTGTTTCATACCTTCTCTCTATTTTTACCCCAACCTGTTACCCCAAAAATGATACTTGTAGTAAGTATTGGTCGAACGTATACACAAAGGGACTGTTGCACACACAGTTCGCGTTGTACTATTAGTTTTGTAGAGGGTGCGAGACACCTAAATTTTCCTAGGCCTAGTATGTGTATACACACACACACACACACACATTATATATATTTATATACAAGTTAGTCTGTGTGTTCCTTTAGGTTATATTATAGTGATTAAAGTTTTGACAATGAAACTAGTAAATCCTAGTTTATACATGAATTATATATTGTACGTCTCGTTTTATGCACGAATTATATATTGAACATCTAGTTGTATGAATTAGTTATATACTGTTCTTCTATAACCTGGTGATTATGTGTGTGTGTAAGGATTTGTTGTGTATTTTCCTGCTTCATTTGGTGAAAGTGGACATAATTGGTGGTAATTATTGTTACGACCCCCAAGTTGTGTGGTTATTATACTCACCTTCTATAACCTACAATTATAACCAACCCCTGGGCCTGTATTCTTGGCCTAGCCACAAACAGCCGCTAAGTTACTCACACCAGAATTTCTCTAAATTTGTGTGTAGCGGAAATACAAGGAAACTGCCCAAATGACTCAACTAGGGTGGAAATACTGCAAAAACTTATGGGTAAACGGGATTGTACATTTAAAATTATATACAACAAAAATAATTAACATGCTAATGATATATGAATTGAAATTTTTAGTAAGATTTACAATTATGAAAGGTATGCCCCTGATTGGCCATTCACTTGGTTTGATTGGAATGTTGCTAGAGATGTGTTCATTGGAGATTTGGCTATTAGGTCAGACTAGGTCAGCCACACAGGTCAGATAAGCACAATATATGATTATCCAACAATCACTTGCAATAATACCGTGACTGTGTAAGACAATGGGCAGTGAACATTTGAGAAGATTGAACGAATGTCTTTTCGTTTCTTATTCTGAAAGCTACAAGCCTGTTCACCTAGGGCACGGGTGCTTCTAGGGGCACGGGTACGTCTTTGGGCACGGGTGCGTCACGTCGCATTTTGACATATACTCCACTTAAGGCCAAAAACTTTCGTACTAGAAAATGGTAGCGGCTGGCGAAATTGACATACTGGCCCGTTTTCTGTTTTGGGTTCTCTGGCAGGTTAGGATAAGGGCATCTTACTACGACAGTTTCTTGAAGATGGGGAACCTTAGGAGACGGGGGGGGGGGGTATATCGTTAAACATACAACCCCCAGTGACCTCTCTTTTGTCAACATTATTTTACGGGGTAATAAACTCATTCTAAATAACCTTAATTATTCTAATTGCAGAGGGAAAAGTTGAAATCATGACGCCAAATTAGCCCCCCACTAACGATGCACCTTTGACTCGCGAACACCTTTAAGGGTAGTTAGTGATAGCCCAGTTTCAACAGCCTCGTTTAAGCACAATTACCACGGGTTAATGGTTGTTGACGGGGCTTGTAGCTTGTTACGTAGTTATGTAACCCGGACCCAAGACATCCCAGGTGTGGGTACAGGACTTTATGATGGGTAGTGGGCTAGTGTTGGAGGGAAATAGCCTAAGCTACTCTATCCCTTTGAGATGTATTTCTTTCTTTTTCTCAATAAACATACTTAAACTTGAACTTGATGTATAATACCTATTGATGTATTCCATGTATTGCGTGGTGGTGATGTGTTTATGTTGCTAACATGATGAATGTTCTGGTGTTGCAGAGTTGCCATCGAGCTACGTGGAGAGGCAGCGGTATGACGGCTGGTACAACAACCTGGCCCACCCGGGCTGGGGCTCCGCAGGTCAGTACCCACCACACTCACCTCCACCACTGTTTTAGATACAGCTACTCGGAACATAAGTTGCAAGTAGCACGGGCTATGGTGAGCCCGTAGTGGACTTACCTGGCACAGGAGCGGGGCAAGTAGCACTACGGGCTATGGTGAGCCTCGCTCCACGACTGATGAAGATTAAGCCACCCAAGAGGTGGCACAGGCATGAATATGTAACAGGGATGGGGTAATGTCTCTGCTTCGTCCACTACCCAGCCCTTAGTTAACTAAACTTAAGACTCACTCGTCACGGCCCTTGTGGATTTGTTGATTGGAATAAGCTTGTTTGAAATATATACTGACGAGTAAACCCGGTCAAGTAAAGTAAAGTAAACCCGGCTCGTGGATTCCGCGGCAAAGACAATCATATATTCTTATGGGTAAACTCAAAACACAGAATTAGCAATTACTCATTAAGGTTTATTAAATCAAAGCTTATCAAATAAAAACAAAAAGGAAACACGCCCTATCTGAACACTCCCTAACTGAAATGCATCCTACTGAAATATTTTCTAAATTAGAGACAATGAATTAAAATCAACTGTACATAGTTAAATTTCCCTCTGTGAGTCCCACTTGGCCCGCTACCCTCCTGACGCTAACCAAGTGCTTCCTGGGGTCATAGAGGCCGGTCAGTCGCTAGTATGATCCTCATATTCATTTGTAATATTAATTACATAATATTACATGGAGGGTGGGGGGGGGGAAGGGGAGGCTTGAGAAGCATGGAAGAGCAGCTGTGTAGTATGAGAGAGTCAGACACCAAGGCTGTTTGGCCGTTTAGCGCGTGTCGCGGCCTTGTTTCTCTGTTCACCTTCAACCGTTTCACCACGCGCCTCTATATGTATGTATGTATATATGTACGTATGTATGTATATGTGTACGTATGTATTTATGTGTATGTGCGTGCGGGCGGTTGTGCGCGTGCGTCATTTGAATTTTGGAATGTCATCGACGTTTTCTTTAAAGTATATTAATATCAATTATAGCCTGAGTGTCTTGTGTAGCTTGAAAAGTTCTACTACATTCCTTGATGCGTGTTGTTAGTCATGCTGTTAGTAATTGGCCATAAGGTGTTGAGAAGACCCAATGCGAGCGAGGTGTGGTTTACACGACCACAACAGTACGAGGCTTGGCCACTGATATACAATACAATAAGAGTATACCAGCAGGTCATACTTGGAATATCACAAACATGAGGTGGACTGGTGCGGAAGTGCAGGCAGGATAATGTGTGTATAGCATCGCCTGGAGTCTGGGAAAGGAAGTACGAAGCAGGATAATGTGTGTAGCATTGCCTGGAGACTGGAGAAGGAAGTACGAGGCAGGATAATATGTGAAGCATCGCCTGGAGACTGGAAAGGCGACTGCAAGGCAAGATGTAGCATTATACATTGCCGAGTTCGAATCCAACATTTGAAAGCAGCGAGCCGGGACGAAGCTGCTCACATTAAGAACCTGCTGGCGGTACAAGATGACCAAATGATGTTTTACGGGTTTTTCCTTGTGTGTGTGTGTGTGTTCCTTGTTTTATCAGACGTCATGTATGTAGCTTGCGCATCTGGTGTTTTAGTTTGTGCTCTCCTGGTGAAAGCTGGAGACGAGCATGTGGTCTAATACTGTGTATCTTCTTCCGAAATCATGACTAAGAGTTGGCTACTACAACACCCCTCGAACTGAGTTCCATCTGTGTTCCTACTAGTCATACGTTAAATTCGCTCTCGGATCTCTGTGGCTCATCTGCCTCAACCTTCCAGCCGCGCCCTCTTGCTTTATTGGTATTTATTGTGGAACATTTCCTCATTTTCCAACCTGTCCAGCCTTTCATTGTACCATGCCCCACGTTATTCTGGGACGAGCCTCGGTACAATGGTGCTGTTGTTATAGATTCAGTTACTCGGAACAAGTTCCAAGTAGCACGGGCTATGGTGAGCCCGTAGTGGACTTAACTGGCACAGGAGCGTTCCTTGGTACAATTTGTTTCAGATTTAGGTACTCAGGACGAAGTGTCCATGTAGCACGGGCTATGGTGAGCCCGTAAACCCTTGGTATAAACCTTGGTACCTTTTTCTAGTATCCTGGTATGAGGTGAAGGCTCCTCGGCGGGACTGCATTCTCTAGGACTGGTCTGACGTAGGTGGTGTGAAGCATTTCGAATTCCTATTTAGTGAGGTTCCTGAATGCTGTTCTGATGTTTGCTAGTTTAAGGCTGCTGACGTTATATTATTTATATGCAAATTGTTTTTAGTTGTTTCATGAAGGTATTTTACCTGAATTTACCTAATGGCCACTGTCTTTTTGGGGGCCTCGACAGGGACAGGAAGCCGGAGGCGTGTCAAATGTTCCCTAGTGTTCCTGGGATTTTTTCCCAACTGGATTCTGAATTTAAATATTGTCCTGACATTTACGGCTTCGGCGGGTAGGCGGTTCCATGGGTTTTATCACCCAGTGGGTGAAACAAAAAATGTTTCCTGTCCTAGATTGTAACTTGTTGAGTTTAAAGTTGTTGTCTTTTGTATGTGTTAAATGTGATTGTTAAAGTACTTTCCCTTCATTGTGTGTGCTGTCCTGCTGGTCTCTTGTCACAAGTTGCCATTGCTATAACCTTGCACTTGCTGGTATTGAAGTCCAGAAGCCTGGACTCGGACCAACTTGGCAGCTTGTGTAGACCTTCTTGACGTATTTTACAATCTTCATCTGTCTCGGTTCTTTTCGTTCATTGCCTCGACCCCCGTTGTTAAGTCATTTATATAAATGAGAACAATCCATGGTACTTGCAACCAATCTTTCAGGGACTCTGTTACGTCAGTCCCTCGCCTCTCACTGTCCGTCTCCTGTCCACTTGGTAGCAGTCATGTTGTGGTGGTGTGGTAGCGGTGGTGGTGCTGTGGTGGTGGTGGTGTGGTGATGGTGGTGGTGGTGTGGTGGTGGTGCTGTGGTGGTGGTGCTGTGGTGGTGCTGTGGTGGTGGTGCTGTGGTGGTGGTGGTGTGGTGGTGCTGTGGTGATGGTGGTGTGGTGGTGGTGTGGCGAGGGACGGGGGGGGGTGTCTTTGTGTGGGGTGAGTGTTGTCTAGTAACAAAGGAGTGGAAGGAGCTGTTCTGTTACATTACCAATGTAGGACAACCTCTCAGGCACGTTCATGGGTACACGTTCATACACACACGCATGTCTGTGCTCACGATCTCTCTCTCTCACTTGCTCTCTCGCTCTCTCTGGCTCTCTCTGGTTCTCTGTGGCTCCCTCGTCCCCAACCGCCACAGTGGAGGGAGGAGGCACTGTCTGTGTGTGGTCCCCTTCCCCTGGGGGACCACGAGGGCTTGGCCTTCTACAAGCAGGGTTGTGTCTCGGTATTAATCATTAAGTCCAGTATCTCCATTTACTAGCCCTATTAGTTGTATAGGCCTACCTCTTTTGTTTAATTGTTAGTGCGCGCGCGCGTGTACTGGTCGGCGCGCACGGTGTCTACCTACCCCCCCCTCTCTCTCTCTCTCTCTCTCTCTCTCTCTCTCTCTCTCTCTCTCTGTCTTTTATTGCACAAAGTTCATTGACTGTGTCCCAGTTCTTCCTGCATCTCTCCCACGTGGTCCACCCATCCTCCTCCTCTGTTGTCTTCCTTCCTCTTTTCTTCCTTCTTCTTTTCTTCCTCCTCCTTTTCTTCCTCCTCCTTTTCTTCCTCCTCCTCTTGCTCCTCCTTCACTGCCTGGAGCGTACGTGTAGAGGGTGCCGGGAGTTGTTCTACTCTCTCGACTTGTGATAACTTGGTCCAACAGGCTGTTGCTTAGAGCGGTCCACAGGTACTCATATACACTACAACCCGGTTGGTCCGACACTTCTTGCAAGAGCTTGTCTTAAGTGCATCTTGAAGACATCCACCTGTGTTTCGAGAACATTTCTAATACTTGCTGGGAGGGTATTAAACAGCCGGGGACTTCGCATCTTTAGACAGTGCTTTCTGATTGTGCCTATGGCACCTCTACTCTTCACTGATTTTATTCTGCATTTCCTTCCGTATCTTTTGCTTCAGTCTGTTATTCTACTGTGAAAATTTGGGACCTGGCCTCTCAGTATTATTGATTTCGGCCCTCAGTATTACTGGCGAAATTTGTGAATTACCACGCCGCGTGGTAATTCGTACACGGCGTCACGAATTGTTGCGTGTTCGTGTGTGCTGGTGGACCGGGCGCTGGGAGTACTGTGCCTGTACACTCTGGCTGGTTCAGGTAAGGGGAAAGTGAAGGCAGATTATGACAACGTTCATTCTTGACCTCACTTTCTAAGAGCCAAGCGCTACCTACATTGGCGCTTCAGTCCTAGTCAGAAATGGTTTATTTTGGTTCAATTGGACACGTTCTTTCAAGATGGTTTTGGTGTCACGGTTAATAAGTCAACTGGCTTCAGGTATCCAGATTAACGTCACTAGCAGAGTTATTGTAAACATATAGTGCCAAAGACAGTCATATAGGTCTATTGCAAGTCTTAAGTTGCTGTCTAGTTGGGCCTGTTGTTGCATGCTATTGTTAGATTGCATACATGACTCAATTAATTCCTTTTTTGTTTAGCAACATTACGAATGTTTATACCAAATGCCATTTTTTGGGCTGCCTCGAATAGTATCTGATATTGACTCGTTTAGTTTGGGTATTTTGATAAGTTTCTGGAAAAGTTTTTTGTTTTTGCAGCGTATCACCTTACCATGGTGGGGGGAGTGCCCCGCGGGGGGGGGGGGGGGTGTGCCCCGCGGTGGGGGGGGGGGTGCTCCGCGTGGGGGGCGGCGTGCCCCGCGGTGGGGGGGGGGGGTACTCCGCGTGGGGGGTGGCGTGCCCCGCGGTGGGGGGGGGGTGCTCCGCGTGGGGGTGGCGTGCCCCGCGGTGGGGGGGGGGGTGCTCCGCGTGGGGGGCGGCGTGCCCCGCGTGGGGGGTGGCCTCGCTGACTGACTTCTAAGACTGAAGACCACTGCAGCTCACATGCGGGTGGCCGAGCTCTGGGTATCCTGGTACCCATGCTAAACACGACACCCTGGTGGTGGACGCGGGTACAGGTGGCGGTGTGGGGGGCATACCCATGCAAGGCTCACTCGCGTACTAGTGACCTTTACCCTCCCTGCCACGGCCATGACCCTGGCCGTGTTGAGGGTCAAGGTCAGAGCTTGTGCTCGCTTTCCCTACCTCGCTCTCACTCGCAAGGGCGAGGTGCAGGACGAAAGGATTTTGTTGAGTGTTTAAATGCTGGTAAATGTGTACTTTATGGTGATGGTGAGTAAGAGACAATTTTTATTTTATACAAGCACTTGCGGTCAAAATATTTACATTTGTTGCATTTTTGCTCTCCCAAAATGTGAGCAAAGTTGGAGTTTGTTTATAGAGCTAGCGGAACAATGCGAGTTTGTTAAAAGTAAATATTATTTTTTATATATAATTTGCTCCTTGTGGTGCTAATGTTTTGGTTCTTTCCCCCCTGAAGAGTCGCGCTTGACGAGGAAGACGCCCGCCAGCTACGCCGACGGAGTGTACATGATGGCTGGCCAGGACCGCCCCTCCCCTCGCAAGCTGTCGGAGGCGCTCATGAAGGGCCGCGACGGCCTGCCCTCCACCATGAACCGTACCGCCATGATAGCCTTCTTCGGTGAGTACTGCTCCTTCCCCTCGCCAGGTAGATATGTTCTTCTCGTGTTCTCCGGGCATAACAGTGTCGTTGGGTTCTGTTAGGAACCTGTAGTGAGGACCCTCGTGTTCTTTAATACGACAGTTCTCGTATATTCCGCAACTAACATCACCTGAGGTCTTGTTTTATTCTCCTACTCGACCCCTCGTTTTGTTTCTAAACCCGAATGATCAACGATTATTCGGCATGTAACCGACCTCTAAATTAGGTTTGTGGTAATAACAAACAGGCGGGTGCTGACCCCCCTCCCACCCTCGTCAGCCCCTGACGAGGGTGGGAGTGAGAATAAATCACCCTCGCTGATGACTACAATCTCCAGATAATGTCAGGAGCGGCCGGGTTCACCCCTGATCACTCTCTCTCCCGGTGAGGGTGTCGGGGGGGCGGGGCTCCCTCCCTCACACATTCCTCCAGTAGCCTTCATTCATAACTCCCTCCCTCCCAGGTACACCGCCCCCCTCGTACACCCTCCCTTATACACCTTCCTGCCATTATACACTCGTGTACACCCCTCGCTCGCTTTGTACACCCGCGATCCTTTATAACAACCTCCTCACCCTTGTACATATCCTATTATAAACCCTCCCCCTTTGTACTCATTCCTTTGTACACCCTTGTACACTTATCCTCCCTTGTGCACAGCCACCAGGGTCACCCTAGGTGTTGAGCAGGCTCCAGTCAGCCACTTTGGTCGAGATTGTTCTTAGGGTATTGTCAAATTCTCGTTAAACGTTGGTCTTTGTAAGATGGCGAAGCTGGAGTTGTCTCCCGTCTGGTTACTGACCACGTTTGGTGGCTCAGGTGTCGCTGCTTACTGATGTTTGAACTTGAGGTGGATGTTGAGAACAATCATTAATGAAAGTGTCTTTGTTTTGATCGTTGTAGTGGAGCTGTGTAGCTGTTGGTTCTGGATGTTGGCCTGGGTGAAGTTGTTCTGGGTGTAGGGGTGGGTGGTTGTGGTGGTGTGGGGGTGTTGGTGGTGTGTGTGTGTGGGGGTGTTGGTGGTGTGTGTGTGTGGGTGTTGGTGTGGGTGTAGATGATAGTGTTGGAGGTAGGGTGGGTCACCAGCGCTACGAGTCACTCCTGTTGTTACCAAAGTTCAAGGCGACAAATGTAAATATTTCCTTTCTGCAGGTCGAGGTTGTGGGGGCGGGGTTGTGAGGGCGGGGTTGTGGGGGCGGGGTTGTGAGGGCGGGGTTGTGGGGGCGGGGTTGTGAGGGCAGGGTTGTGGGGGCGGGGTTGTGAGGGCAGGGTTGTGGGGGCGGGGTTGTGGGGGCGGGGTTGTGAGGGCAGGGTTGTGGGGGCGGGGTTGTGAGGGCAGGGTTGTGGGGGCGGGGTTGTGGGGGCGGGGTTGTGGGGCAAGACGTAGTGGTGGTGTGTGTGTGTATTAACCTAGTTGTCCTTGCGGGGGTTGAGCTCTGCTCTTTCGGCCCGCCTCTCAACTGTCAATCAATCAACTGTTTCTTACTATTATTTTTTGGTCTCGCCTTCCCCCCCCCCAGGAAACAGCCCGTAGCAACTGTATATCTCCCAGGTACCTATTTACTGCTAGGTAACAATGGCATCAGGGTGAAAAAAACTCAGCCCATTTGTTTCTGCCATCACCGGGTATCGAATCCAGACCCCTAGGATTACGAGTCCAGAGCGATGTCCACTCAGCTATCACGCCCCCTCTTGTGTGTGTGTGTGCGCGCGCGTGTGTGCATGCGTGCATGTGTGCGCGCTTGCCTCCGGCCAACCGGACTCCACTTGTCTTAAAATCATTCGTTGATTGAGGAAGACTTAAAATTGAGCCTTCCGTCAGGTGTCCAGCAGCTGGTGCCGTAACAGTTGATTAACAATTCCTGTGAGAGAGTAACTACAAGGTTGAAGTGGATCGTCCGGTGTTGTTGTGCTGTTAGCGTGGCGAGGGAGAGACCACGTTACTGGTCTCTCATTAAGGGTGCCACACACTTCGCCAGACGTCACTGCGGCAGGCGTCACGGCTGGCTGGCTAGTCGAAGCTGCAGACGCGTGACGTTTAGGGAAGGCCTCGCTCACTCACGGCTGTCCCAGAGTGTGTCCATGGCCTCGCGTTCTGCTCCTGCACCTTGTATGTTGTTGTTATAGATTCAGCTACTCGGAACAAGTTCCAAGCAGCACGGGCTATGGCAAGTCCCGTAACTTACCTGGCACAGGAGCGGGGCAAGTAACACGGACTATGGTTAGCCTGTGCACCTTGTAAACTGTTTGTCCTTATCTACTTTGTTGTGGCTGGGGTGGTGGGGGTGGTGGAGATGGTGGGGGGTGATGGTGGGGGTGGAGATGGTGAGGGGGTGATGGTGATACAGGGGTTACAGCCTCAAACTACCAATAAATCCAACCCATCCCCCTAAAAATGATAGTACCTCCCGTTACCTCCGATATTACAAAATATGGATTGGTTTGAAATAAACCCCAGCAAGGTATAAAGCGTTTATTCCTGTGTTTAAGGGGCGAGGAGCGCCTCTGGAAAGCCTGGGAAAATACAACACTCGTATATTGGGTTGTATATTCACAACACAATTGTATTTCCTCACTCGTACACGTGAGGAATATGCGTACTAATTGGCCGCTTGTGTTGAGTGTATATTGGAGTTGCAGGTGTTGGTATGCAAGGAGCTCGTCTCCTGATGTTGAGTAAGGCGGACGCCTGCAGGAGGGTAGGAAAGTGAAGACGATGCCTCGCACGTGTCTCCAGTAGTAGAGATGTAGAGCACCTTAGCTGGCGTCTAGTGGATGGCGAGTGTGGCGAAGGTCCGCCTGGCGGTAGTAGGTATCTTGAGGTTTTTTCTTGAGGTTATCTTGAGATGATTTCGGGGCTTCTTAGCGTCCCCGCGGCCCGGTCCTCGACCAGGCCTCCACCCCCAGGAAGCAGCCCGTGACAGCTGACTAACACCCAGATATCTATTTTACTGCTAGGTAACAGGGGCATAGGGTGAAGCAAACTCTGCCCATTGTTTCTCGCCGGCGCTCGGGGTCGAACCCGGGACTGTGGGGAGTTAATAACAGCTTAATCACACTGTTCATGGGAGCTTCTTAAACTGATCAGTACCGCGTGTAGAACAATTCAGACCAAGACACCAATAAGAGCAAGAACCACGACAAAAATAACACCAGAAAGAACAAATGATTAGAACAGGCGCGAAACACGAGAAAAGTTGTCACTTCTAATTGAACTGTTGGGTTTCCGCTTCGAGTTGGAGAACAAGAACTATTGTGACATATCTGATCTTGTGAGAGTCTGGACAGGGAATGTTCACACTTCACACGCTGTGACTAGTGTGACGGTGTCACGCCGTGACTAGTGTGACGGTCTCACGCTGTGACTATAGTGTGACGGTCTCACGCCGTGACTAGTGTGACGGTGTCACGCCGTGACTAGTAACCAAGATCGTGATTGAATAATGTCACGCATAATATTCCAGAACAGCGATACAAATAATGTATTAAAAATGATAGAGTATCTGTGTGTGTGTTTTTTCCTTAACACATTTATACGTATTAACACCTCTCTCAAGTTTTCATGTTTGTCTGTCACTGCCGGTCATTACCGTATGGTTACCTTGAGGTGCTTCCGGGGCTTAGCGTCCCCGCGGCCCGGTCGTCGACCAGGCCTCCATATAGTGGGTTTTGACATTACACTCACTTGGGTGTGGTTGAACTCCGGGAGGCGGTTCATGGGTGAGCTTGCACTCACTTGAAGTAAAAACTGCCCGGGTGGCTGGCAGTTTTTTTCCCTGATTGGTGTACCGTCCGCCAGGTACCGCTGCCAGCATGGTACCATGTGAATGACGCCATGCGAGAGGTGAAGAAATCATAAGATTGAAGGAAACTGCAGAAGAGTACCGACTTAAGAATCGATCTCAATCGACTTCAGAATGGTCCAGGACGGACCGAAACGTCGTCGTCCCTTCAACTTCTAGTGTGTGGTCTGGTCAACAAACTGCAGAAGGCCGAATGGCTCATACAAGGCAGCTGCTCCTACTCTTGTCCACGGAGACTCAATCATATTTATTTTGATTTATTTATATATATGCAAGAATTCTTACATTGTCGTACAGCCACGAACACGTACAGTGTTTCGGGCCTTAATCCAGACCCTTAAATTAAGGTCCTTAATCCTTATTTGCCTCGGAATACGAGCCGCCAAATCGTTTAACAACCAGGTACCCATTCACTGCTGGGTGAACAGAGGCTACAGTTAAGGATTGGCGGCCAGTCAATCCTCCCCCGGCCAGGATACGAACCCAGGCCAAAGCGCCTACGAATCGCCAGGCGAGTGTGTTACCACTACGCCACGGGGGCTGCAATATGTATATATATGTCTAACTTACACTGGAAACAACCCAACGATCCCATGTCTATTAAGTTACTCGATAATTTGCTCACAAAATCAACAACTGTGTTTCAAAACATTATTTTCCTTAACAAATCCACAAGGGCCGTGACGAGGATTCGAACCTGCGTCCGGGAGCATTTAAGTCTTTCATGACTTAAAGTTTTACAAATTTTGTGAAGGGAAAGTTCCGGGTGCTTCACGGGTCTTCATAAGGAATTCCGTGATTTACTTCCAGGTTGCTTGTGTACATCTACATTTATCCGGAATGTTGTCAAGTGTGTCAAGCTTCTCAAGTTTGCCAGTCTTGCCGGGAACTTAATACATTTGGCACGTTGTGAAGAGCCTCCATTCAACTTCTCTCAGATGTGACGTGGAATATTTTGACAACCGGATGAGCATCTTCCTGTCAATCATGCGTTCACTAGACACTTGAGGGCTGGACGGTAGAGCGACGGTCTCGCTTCATGCAGGTCGGCGTTCAATCCCCGACCGTCCATAAGTGGTTGGGTACCATTCCTCCCTACCCCATCCCAAATCCTTATCCTGGTCCCTTCCCAGTGCTACATAATCGTAAGCCCTCTGATAGTTCTTTTCTCTTCTTAGTCTTGCAATAGTGAGTTGCGAAGCACGACCTGTCCGATTACTCTCCAGTGGTCTTGGGGGAAAGTTGGGTTGATATTACAGCTGATCTGTTATACCAGCGACTTACACCGTGTGTAATACTTATAATTCCCCAAGTGCGTGTTAGTGACCAGCTGGTGTGTGGTGTCTCACGCAGGTCAGGTGGTGTCGTCGGAGGTGCTGCAGGCGTCCGAGGTGGGCTGCCCCATAGAGATGCACAAGATCGACATCGACAAGTGCGACGAGATGTACGACCAACAGTGCACCGGCAACAAGTTCATGCCCTTCCACCGCGCCGGCTACGACTTCTCCACCGGCCAGAGCCCCAACAGTCCCCGTGAGCAGGTAGGTCACCAGGGGTCAGGGGAGGTGGTGTGTGGGGTAACCAGGGGTCAGGGGAGGTGGTGTGTGGGGGGGGGTCACCAGGGGTCAGGGGAGGTGGTGTGAGGGGTCACCAGGGGTCAACGGAGGTGGTGTGTGGGGGGGTCACCAGGGGTCAGGGGAGGTGGTGTGGGGGTCACCAGGGGTCAGGGGAGGTGGTGTGTGGGGGGTCACCAGGGGTCATGGGAGGTGGTGTGGGGGGGGGTCACCAGGGGTCATGGGAGGTGGTGTGGGGTCACCAGGTGTCAGGGGAGGTGGTGTGGTAGGTCACCAGGACCAGGGGAGGTGGTGTGGGGTCACCAGGACCAGGGGAGGTGGTGTGTGGGGGTCACCAGGGGTCAGGGAAGAAGCCACAAGTCACACATGGGTGGTGCCCAGCGATCGCCCCGTGACCAGCCACACATCTCCATATCAGTTTCTGATGGCAGGTTTCCCTGTGATCACCTAGATGTTCTCGTCGGATCAGAACCTCAACTCCCAAACTCAGCATTTCCGACCATTACTAGTTTCTTAGTTATTATTCTCTCGTTTTTTTCATATGTTTACATTTAAAATGACTTATCGAGTTATCTCCAAGCACTTCTTTATCTGTGGTTCAGTTGCTTACAGCTGTGAGACTCCAGTTCTTCCTGACTGTCATTCACGTCTCTAGTTTGTGTTCTCGTTGTTGTAGTGTTCCGGTACTTGGAAATAGTTTCTTTACACTTTAATTCGCCGTTGTTTTGATTGTTGATTACTACTCAAGTATGGCTATATCCTCCTCTCTCTCTCTCTCTCTCTCTCTCTCTCTCTCTCTCTCTCTCCTGGTAACCTACTTACTTCGCATGGGAATCAACCTTGTTGCTTATATTTAGAACTTTTCTAGTTATGGTTTATGACTGAACATGTGAGAGTTTTATGTCGGAGCTGCATACTTAACAGTGGGTCTCACTTACGTCGTATAATATCCCAATGTAACAAGTAATATTCGTTTTCTTTTGCTGGAAGCTGCCTCGCCTACACTTTGTTGTGCTTCTGGTGTTTTCTACCTTCTCTCTTCTAACACTACATTTGTCCGAGTTAACGTCCGGTAGCCATTATTCTGACCATCTCTTAGAGTGAGTTGAGTTCATTTTGCTGTACTCTATAGCACGGTCCTCCTCTTATAATATTATCATAGGTTTTGGATCATTAGTAGAGTGCTGCTTCCCTGGTTCTTGTGGTGTGAGGCGTCAGCTGCCTTAGGTGCGCTTGGCGCTCCTCCACTTTACACGACTCTGGATTACATTGCTGGTTTACATTACTTTCCGAATTTATATTTGCTATTTTACGCACTCGCGAGTATAGGCGCACTCCCGGCCCCCTCAACATAACTCAGACATGTGCGTTCACTCATGGAACCCACGCATGCGCACTAGCGGTCTAAACCCTCCGGTGGGAATGATCACCATTTTAAAAGACATAACCATTTCCTGTAAATGGTAAGTTCATGCACAATACTCTACATTTGGAGGTGTATATACACCATGCAGTTACTACAATCTTACAACAATTACATAATACGTCAGTCCTCGCACCACCACCACAAATGCACCACCACCACGCCCCTGAAGGTAACCACAGCCAGGCCCTCGACCACACCTGCCTCGCCTGTGACTTGTGCAAGAGGAAATGGTTTTTTGTAACTCTTCCTCCTTCCTCGCCCTTCGGGATAATTTTAGGTTTATTACCCTAGGAAAGGACATCTTCCGCGGCTTCCCCATCTCTGGAAAAGATGGGGAAGCCATGAACAAATCCACAAGGGCCGTGACGAGGATTCGAACCTGCGTAATCCTCGTCACGGCCCTTGTGGATTTGTTCATTTGATGCATCACGTTAGTGTGATGGGGAACGCCATCTTTTTCATGGAAGATGAAAAAATATTTTCTTTCTTTTCCGGGAAACCGGAATGAGTGGTCATTAAACCCGAGCAATCGAGCGGCGTCATGATGATTAAAACATTACTACTAATTTCAACTGTGTTAAACCTGGTGTTACATGTCGCTGTGTAACCTTGCAGCTGAACTACGTGACGTCGTGGTTGGACGCCAGCTTCGTGTACAGCATCAGCGAGGCCAGACTCAACATGCTGAGGTCCTTCGCCAACGGGACCTTCAGGACGGCGCCCGACGACCCCACCATGCCGCCCCGCAACACCGAGAGGATCCCCATGTTCAACAACCCCACCCCACAGGTTCTCAAGATTCTTAACCCGGAGAGGATTTTCCGTGAGTATAGCTGTGTGTGTGTGTGTGTGTGTGTGTGTGTGTGTGTGTGTGTGTGTGTGTGTGTGTGTGTGTGTGTGTACTCACCTAGTACTCACCTAGTTGTGCTTGCGGGGGTTGAGCTCTGGCTCTTTGGTCCCGCCTCTCAACCGTCAATCAACAGGTGTACAGGTTCCTGAGCCTATTGGGCTCTATCATATCTACACTTGAAACTTGTGTGTGTGTGTGTGTGTGTGAGGTATTGTTCAAATGTTTCTGAGCGTCGTCCTGTATGTTTGGACGAATGAGAGAGTGACAGTGAGATAGTGAGAGACATTTGAGGCAGCGAGAGACATTTGAGATAGTGAGAGACATTTGAGACGTGAGGTGACGTTATTCAAACTGTTGCTCCCCCCTGTGTACAGTGCTAGGCGATCAGAGGACCAATCAGAACCCTGCTCTCCTGGCCTTCGGCATTCTGATGTTCCGATGGCATAACGTGGTGGCCGGTCGCGTCCAGGCCGAACACCCGGACTGGTCAGACGAGGACATCTTCCAGCGGGCCAGGAGGATAGTCACCGCCCACCTGCAGGTCAGTCCCGCCCTATCCCGTCCCACAACACCTCTATCCCCCCTTTTACCCCCCGCTTTTACCCTCACGTGAACTATTAAGCCACCCTTTGGCACGGGCATGAATACCCGTCCTCACCCTCTGCACGCCCACGTTTACATATTCACTCCTCCCTCCAAAACGCCCCCCTCAACCCCCCCAAAACCCCCCTCAAGCCCCCCCCCTGAACCCCCCCCCTGAACCCCCCCTCAAACCCCCCCCCTCAACCCCCCCCTCAAACCCCCCCCCCCCCCTCAATCCCCCCCTCAATCCCCCCCCCCCCCCTCAATCCCCCCTCTCAACCCCCCCCCCCCCCCCTCAAACCCCCCCCCCCTCAATCCCCCCCTCAAACCTCCCCCCTCAAATCCCCCCCCCCCCCCTTCCCATAAAAGCACACGTTCACTCGCCTACACAGGTGAGTGCCTTGGGTGACATGTATGAATGCACTTGGGAGGGACAATACTGTGTCCCGACCTTCATGACAGGTGAGTGCATTCACATCAGGACACGCGCGTGCGCTCAGTCATGCACTCACCTCTACACGCACTCCCGCGTGTTCGTTCAAACATGCACGTGTACTCTCACCATATTCCATGTTTTTTGTCCAGTTTTATCGTTCATTGGTTTATATATCGTTCCTGCACGTTCCCTCATGACCGTCCAAGAGGTTGGGCACCATTCCTTCTCCCCGTCCCATCCCAAATCCTTATCTTGACCTCTTTCCAGTGCTATATAGTCGTCATGGCTTGGCGTTTCCCCCCCCCCCTGATAGTTCCCTTCCCTTACCTCACCCACCTGCACGTCCCCTCACCCACCTGCAGCTTCAACTCTTGACTACCTCCACACCCAGCCCTGATCACCGAGCTCCGTACTCGAACTGTGTTAGGGGGGGGTGTCAGCCTATCGGACGAGTCTCCAGAAAGTAAATCAGGGGTGAAGGGGGGCGTGGAAATGGGAGGAGAGGGGGGGGGGAGACATGGGAATGAGGGTATCGAAGCGTGAAGGCTTTTCTTCCCTCACCCCTGTCCTCCCCCTCTGTCCCCCCGCTGCATGGTGTTCTATGGTGTGTGGAGGTCACGGCCTGTCCCTGGTGGGGTGCGCACCCTGGCGAAGGTTTTCGTCCAGATGCAGGCGATGAGTCACAATAACGTGGCTGAAGTATGTTGACCAGACCACACACTAGAAGGTGACGGGACGACGACGTTTCGGCTCCGTCCTGGACCATTCTCAAGTCGACTTGGGAATGGTCCAGGACGGACCGAAACGTCGTTTTTCCCTTCACCTTCTAGTGTGGGTCTGGTCAACGTTTTCGTCCAGTTCCGCAACATGTCAATCCTTGTGACATTTTCCCTCCCTATGCATGTTTCCCCTCTTGGCTTTTTTTGGTGTTACCATGCATCGTTAATTCCCACCTGACCTGTATTTACCATGCGGGAGTCCCTGTCTTGCCTTGAATGGTCCAACCCGTCGTTAAACATAAACCGTCTACGGGTATATCGAGCCAAAGCGACTGTGTGCGGCGCTGTAATCAAATTACAATGCCCTTCGAATTGGCTTTTAAGTACTGTATAACAAGTATCTCGTAGCTTGTGGTCTAGCTATTGGGTGTGTTGTATGTTACTGTAACAGTCATGTTAGGTATGTAGAGATATCTTAGTACCACAGTGGGAGTGTGACCTGACCTGACCGTGTCTAGGACACGTGGTGACCCAAGGCGCCACAGTGTGGGGGTCTTGTGACCTCGGCTACCTACCTACCTACCCCCGTCCATGTTGGCCACTCCGTGACTTAATATTTCTCTCCCACAGAACATCATTATGTACGAGTTCCTGCCGGCATTTCTGGGTGAGTCCGTGGAGCCCTATCAGAGGTACCGGCCAGATATCCACCCCGGCATCTCTCACGTCTTCCAGTCGGCCGCCTTCAGGTGAGTCCTCCTCCTCCTCCTGCGGTATTGATCAGGTGTGGCTGTGTGTCGGTAGGTCGTAGTAACACTGTAATAAAGGCAGACGAGTGTCACTGGTGAGCTCCCTCACTCAGACCCGCGCCATGACCACCGGATGTATGTGTGTGGTCAAGAGAGGTTGTTAATAGGTCAGTCTCCTCTTACACTCTCAGCTGGGCTGACCTCGCTGTCCTGGGAGTGTGGCCAACATGTGTGACATTCTACACGTGAGGTAGATCGACGACTCTTATCCTGGATGATGTAGTAAACATTGGAGGCGTCGTTAAGATGTCGGCGAGCCTGCTGGAGACATTGTTACCTATGCCTGGTTATCAGGTGAGCAGGTGTTGTCAAGCTGTCCCTCTCTATATTACCACCCGCCTGCCGGTCTTCAACTGCGTGCGCGCGCGCTCTACAAACATTGACAAGTCTTTTTGTGCCACGGCACTTGTGTAAACCTTGCCACTGGTTTCTGGTTTTCTGCACATGGGTTGAGAAATGTTTCTTCTCTTCTCCTAGTGTACCGCAACAGCTTACCAATCCCCCCCTTCCTTAGTGCCCAATAGCCTCCACCCCCACTTCATCCCAAAGTCCCGGATCCCCCCTCCCCTCAGTGCTCCCCGGTCCACCCAATGCTCCCGGATGAGTTGTGGCTGAGGAGGAACAGGATGTGTATACAAACATCCAACTTTCCCTCTCTTGTTCTTCACTGTGAACGACGGCTTCCTTCCTCTTGCCGCCGCCTGGGCTGATGACTGCAATTTGTACTCTCCCACCCGATGACTGGCTGAGCTTCCAGAGCCCCGATTGACGCCATGCGTAAGACGGTATACGCCCCACCTCGTGAGCCCACCTCGTGAGCCCACCTCGTGAGCCCACCTCGTGAGCCCACCTCGTGAGCCCACCTCGTGAGCCCACCTCTTCAGCCCACCTCGTGAGGCCAGAGGGAGCAGCTCTGCAACTCCGTATGTAGGGTGGAAATCAGTTCGTCGTGGGTTCTTGTATTTTTAACTCCAAACGTCGTGAATTATTTTAAAAGTGATGTTAGTCACTCTTGTGAATCACTTGAGAGTACTTGAGTGGCGGTAATTCCAGGATAATTACAGGCGTTTAGAGAACAAGAACTCGACAATTACTCGTAATGGCTAAAGGGACCAACGGTGGTGGTGGTAGGAAGCAGCGATGACTGTACAGTGGTGGCCTTGGTCTGAACACTGGCGGGAGGCTGTGACTGATCTGTGGCCTCCACTCTCACTCACTCACTCACACCTCCACTCTCACTCACTCACACCTCCACTCTCACTCACTCACACCTCCACTCTCACTCACTCACTCACACCTCCAGTCTCACTCACTCACTCACACCTCCACTCTCACTCACTCACACCTCCACTCTCACTCACTCACACCTCCACTCTCACTCACTCACACCTCCACTCTCACTCACTCACTCACACCTCCACTCTCACTCACTCACTCACACCTCCACTCACTCACTCACACCTCCACTCTCACTCACTCACTCACACCTCCACTCTCACTCACTCACTCACACCTCCACTCTCACTCACTCACTCACACCTCCACTCTCACTCACTCACACCTCCACTCTCACTCACTCACTCACACCTCCACTCTCACTCACTCACTCACACCTCCACTCTCACTCACTCACTCACACCTCCAGTCTCACTCACTCACACCTCCACACTCTCACTCACTCACACCTCCAGTCTCACTCACTCACACCTCCACTCTCACTCACTCACACCTCCACTCTCACTCACTCACTCACACCTCCAGTCTCACTCACTCACACCTCCACTCTCATTCACTCACACCTCCACTCTCACTCACTCACACCTCTACACTCTCACTCACTCACACCTCCAGTCTCTCACACTGACTGCCCTCCAATGGCCATTATGGCTATACAAAGTGTCTAAAATGGCTCCAAAAATAACAATTCTCTAAAATAGTTCCCAAGTATAGTTAGGTAAGCTCATTGGACAATGTGTGATGGAATATGTTGAGAAATGTTGACAGTAGGAAACCCAATGGTATATACTAATGAGGGATATGTTGGTGTTGCTCTACAGGTTCGGACACACTCTTGTACCGCCTGGACTGTACCGCAGAGGACCCGGGGAGGACTGTACCTTCCTCAAGACCCACACGGGCTTCTCCGCCCTCCGCCTCTGCTCCACCTGGTGGGACGCTAATGTGAGTATGCCGCGCCTCGGACCCCCCCTTCACCCTGTTCCTCTCTCGGCATGTCGAGTACCTTCGGGTTGTCTAAGCCGGTCTTTATATGGCACTCTCTTCTTGCTTTTCTTTTCTCTCTTTCCCTCTTTACTCCTCTTTCCTCTGTCTCCTCCATCCCCTCTTCTATCTCCTCCTTTACTCTCTCTCTCTCCTCATTTACTGAATCCTCTTCTCCCTCTCTCCTCCCTCACCCCTCTCTACTCCGGTCTCCCCGGTCCCCCCCCCCCCGGTCCTTCCCTTCCCCGTCTCTTCTGCTCTCTCCCATATCAGTTTCCCCTCCCTCCCCCTGCTACACCTTTCTCTTATTCCTCCTCGCCCTTGCTAGGGCAGGGCCGTGGGCGCTTTAGTGTGAGTGGTGGGCATGGGCAGACGGGCGTGGGCGCGTGGGTTGCGTCAGGGAAGCACAGAAAAAGGCCTCTACCACTGAAGGTTTTGTATCATTCACCTGATTACGCCTGATGTAGGTCGCCCGCCGCAGGAAGAGAGGGGCGGCGCTGTGAAGGGTACAGGTGTGGGAGGAGGGTACAGGTGTGGGAGGAGGGGGTACAGGTGTGGTAGAAGGGGGGGTACAGCTGTGGTAGAGGAAGTGTCCATACGAGGTGTGGTAGGCGGTGGAGCAGCAAACACCAGCGGCTGTGACTGGTGCTACCACACTAGGAGTTATGAGGCGGTGATTTCAACGCCACAATAAATAGTGAGCCGGTACTGTAATGTGTCACTATTGCCGTTGTGTGTGGAGTATAGTGCAGGATGATAGTGACTAATGGGCACTGTTGTTATTGCTCCCGTCAGGCATCAGTATATACAAGCAAGAGTAACATGCTTATAAATGCGGGGGTCATTAATACTTGCTCATTTGTACGCTGTTAACTGTGTACGACTGTGATGACCTCACACACACCCCCCCCTCCCTCTTCATACGACAAATTACAATCACCATCACCACCACTACCACCCACAACCACCACCACCACGACGACCACCACCTATAACCACCACCACCACCACCACCACCTATAACCACCACCACCACCACCTACAACAACCACCACCACCACCACCACCTACAACAACCACCACCACCACCACCACCTACAACAACCACCACCACCACCTACAACCACCACCACCTACAACAACCACCACCACCACCACCACCCACAAACACCACCACCCACAAACACCACCACCCACAACCACCACCACCACCTACATCCACCACCACCTACAACCACCACCACCACCACCTACAACTACGACCACCACAACCTACAACCACCACCACCACCACCACCTACAACCACCACCACCACCACCACCACCTACAACAACCACCACCACCACCACCTACAACCACCACCACCACCACCACCACCACCACCACCACCTACAACCACCACCACCACCACCACCACCTACAACAACCACCACCACCACCTACAACAACCACCACCCACCACCACCACCACCACCACAACCACCACCTACAACCACCACCTACAACCACCACCACCACCTACAACCACCACCACGACCACCACCACCAACCACCACCTACAACCACCACCACCACCACCACCCAGCTCCCCCAGTCTTGCTCAACAAGTCACTCCGTTAAAGTCTTCATTATGCTGTGACCTCTATATTCTCCCCAACAGTATTGGGAAATATTTCTTGATCTATATTTTGGTTTACACACTCGGGAATATGGATAGGAAAATATATATATGTAAAACTAGCCTACTTAAATGAAGTTTGGGAAAATGTTGACTCTAATTCAGTGATGAATTATTAGCATAGTCAACTGGCTGTGTATTCACCTAGTTGTATTCACATAGATTACCTAGCAGTAAAATAGGTACCTGGGTGTTAGTCAGCTGTCACGGGCTGCTTCCTGGGGGTGGAGGCCTGGTCGAGGACCGGGCCGCGGGGACACTAAAGCCCCGAAATCACCTAAAGATAACCTCAAGATAGATGTGCTTGCGGGGGTTGAGCTTTACTCTTTCGGCCCGCCTCTTAACTGTCAATCAATCAACTGTTACTAACTACTTATTTCCCCCCCCCACACCCACGCACACCCCAGGAAGCAGCCCGTGACAGCTGTATAACTCCCAGGTACCTATTTACTGCTAGGTAACAGGGGCATCAGGGTGCTTGAAACTCTGCCCATTTGTTTCTGCCGGCCCCGGGAATCGAACCCCTGGTCGACCGCCGTACTGATGGCACCCTGACCCCACCGGTGAGGGTGCGAGGGGGTGCCACTACACACTCAGGGGGTTCAGGGTGAGGGCCAAGGCACCCCAGGAGAAGGACAGGTCAGGGGAGGTTGTAGTTGGTAAGTGGTGGAGTGGGTTGGGCAGATGTGCTCACACCCTCTCCCGCACCTTTGCTCATCTAGGGTGTGGGGGGGGGGGGTTAGGGTGAGTGTGGAGGGGGGTTTAGGGTGAGTGTGGAGGGGGGCTTAGGGTGAGTGTGGAGGGGGGTTTAGGGTGAGTGTGGAGGGGGGTTTAGGGTGAGTGTGGAGGGGGGTTTAGGGTGAGTGTGTGGGGGTTTTAGGGTGAGTATGAGGGTTTAAGGTGAGTGTGAGGGGGGATTTAAGGTGAGTGTGAGGGGTTTAGGGTGAGTGTGGAGGGGGGGGTTAGGGTGAGTGTGGAGGGGGGGGTTAGGGTGAGTGTGGAGGGGGGGTTAGGGTGAGTGTGAGGTGAGGATGAATGAGGCGACACGAGTGGTGTGGCAACTACCACACGAGGGAGGTCTTGGATGACCAGTAACAACCTTGGGGGGGGGGGGGGGAAGTCCAGATCTCTAAGGCTTTTTATTTCTTATCTAATTGCTTGTTACCTTCCGCGCTTCCCTAAGTGTGCTTGCGGGAGGTTGAGCTTCAGCGCTTGGGACCATGTTCTCAATCTTGAAGTGATGTACACGTTCCGGCGCCTATTGGGCTGTCGTATCTACAGTTAATGATCTATATGGATCATCTCACTAGTCTGACGATAACAAAATTCATTGTATTGTCTTTGTGGCTCATTTAAGGGAGCCGAGCGGACAGAACGCTGGGCTTGTGATCCTGTGGTCCTGGGTTCGATCCCAGGCGCCGGCGAGAAACAATGGGCAGTTTTTCACCCTATGCCCCTGTTACCTAGCAGTAAAATAGGTACCTGGGTGTTAGTCAGCTGTCACGGGCTGCTTCCTGGGGGTGGAGGCCTGGTCGAGGACCGGGCCGCGGGGACACTAAAAAGCCCCGAAATCATCTCAAGATAACCATTTAGGTACTTGGTTCCCCATCTGTGACCCCCCCCCCACCCTTCCTCTTGTGCCACCCCTTTCAAAATATATATCCTTCTTTCTCTTGTCGATTCCACTGAGAATTTTGTGTGTCGTAATCATATTTTCCCCCTGTTTTGTGTACTCGTGTGACGTGGGGTTTTATTCCTTTAATATTTCGTCATAACTCGTACCGCAGCTCTGGCACAAGATGAGTGACATACCTCGGCACTCCTATGTTTCGGGTTTATTGGTGTAATGATTTCACGCTGGCGCTGCATATTCCAGGATTGGTCTGATGTGCGTGATATTTAAGGCCATGGCAAATTATATATATTCTGATTTATAAGTGCAGTTATGATGGTCCTCGTGGCATACACAGATGAGGGTAGCCGTGTGATGTGTAGGTGGTGGTTGTTATAGATTCAGCTACTGGGAACCAAAAGTTGCAAGTAGCACGGGCTATGGTGAGCCCGTAGTGGACTTACCTGGCACAGGAGCGGGGCTGTAACTGATGTGTAGGGCCTCGGGCTTCTTATGAGGTGTCCACTCACTTGCGGCACCTTGTGTTCTGTCTATCTCTGTCTCTGTCACTCACTTCAACTGCAGTGGTTACTATACAGTAACACAGTAGTATTTCCAGGAGATATCCGTCACCGTGGAACATCGAGTCTCCTGTCATGACTTGTGTGTCTGGATTACAATGTTCTATCCTAGTGCTCCAGTACTTGTTCCTCATTACCTCATCCAGTCATTTGGAGGCTCCGCATGTTAGGAAACCAGGAGCTGGCTCTAAACCTCGGGTGGTTGTCAACGGAGCACCTGGTACTGCTCCAGCCGCCCCTGTGGCAGCCCTGCTGGTGGTTGTCAACGGAGCACCTGGTACTGCTCCAGCCGCCCCTGTGGCAGCCCTGCTGGTGGTTGTCAACGGAGCACCTGGTACTGCTCCAGCCGCCCCTGTGGCAGCCCTGCGGGTGGCTTGTCTGGGGCTGTACCTGGCTCTACACTTCCTCCTGGGTAACTGTGCTACTCACCAGTATTGCGTCCACCTGTCGTCGCCACCTGTCTGTCTCCGCTCTGGTTCTGTCGTGAAGACTGTCAACCTTAGCTGAACCTCACCGTCTCTCTCTGTCGTGTTCACACACTTGCAACACCTTCCTGGGGCCAGATTCACGAAAGCACTTACGCAAACACTTACGAACCTAAACATTTTTTCTCAATGTGGCGGCTTTGTTTCCAATTATTAAACAGTTAATGAGCTCCGAAGCACCAGGAGGCTGTTTATAACAATAACAACAGTTGACTGGGAAGTTTTCATGCTTGTAAACTGTTTAATAAATGTAACAAAAGCCGCCAAAGATTGAGGAAAGATGTACACGTTCGTAAGTTCTTTCGTGAATCTGGCCCCTGGTCTTCAATTCGTGATTTTGTGTGTATTCATTTGTCTCTGACCATGTCTTAGGCTGCCATGTCTGCCTGTCTGCTATGTCTGCCTGTCTGCTCTGTGTATCTGGTGTCTTGGCGCTAATTTGATCTGCCTTTACAGTACACTTGGCCAGTTAAAGGAGACTAGTTATACAGTAACTCCCTTGCCTTTTGGAATCTTAGGTTTCGTGAACTTTCTTGCTGTTGGGGAAGTCCAGATGACAGAAGCGCTGTAGCGAGGGGGGTGGTGCTGACGCTAGCCAGCTTCCTGGAAGCCCTTCCAGGATCCAGCACTAGGTGTAACCTTCATACGTCCAGAGGCAACACTTGCCTTCCAGTGTGGTGTGTAGGGTCATCACACTTGCCTTCCAGTGTGGTGTGTAGGGTCATCACACTTGCCTTCCAGTGTGGTGTGTAGGGTCATCACACTTGCCTTCCAGTGTGGTGTGTAGGGTCATCACACTTGCCTTCCAGTGTGGTGTGTAGGGTCATCACACTTGCCTTCCAGTGTGGTGTGTAGGGTCATCACACTTGCCTTCCAGTGTGGTGTGTAGGGTCATCACACTGCGCCTCAAGTGCTTGTTCACGAGGATAAGTTTAACTTTTACTGCCGAGCATCCAGTAGTAGTTCCTTCTCTCTGACACAACACCATCTCCCACACCACCCTTACTTCAGTTCACATGACCACTACCCGTCACCACCACCACTACCCGTCACCACCACTACCCGTCACCACCACTACCCGTCACCACCACTACCCGTCACCACCACTACCCGTCACCACCACTACCCGTCACCACCACTACCCGTCACCACCACTACCCGTCACCACCACTACCCGTCACCACCACTACCCGTCACCACCACTACCCGTCACCACCACTACCCGTCACCACCACTACCCGTCACCACCACTACCCGTCACCACCACTACCCGTCACCACCACTACCCGTCACCACCACTACCCGTCACCACCACTACCCGTCACCACCACTACCCGTCACCACCACTACCCGTCACCACCACTACCCGTCACCACCACTACCCATCACCACCACCACTACCCGTCACCACCACTACCCATCACCACCACTACCCGTCACCACCACTACCCGTCACCACCACTACCCATCACCACCACTACCCGTCACCACCACTACCCGTCACCACCACCACTACCCGTCACCACCACTACCCGTCACCACCACTACCCGTCACCACCACTACCCGTCACCACCACTACCCGTCACCACCACCACTACCCGTCACCACCACCACTACCCGTCACCACCACCACTACCCGTCACCACCACCACTACCCATCACCACCACTACCCGTCACCACCACTACCCGTCACCACCACCACTACCCGTCACCACCACTACCCGTCACCACCACTACCCGTCACCACCACCACTACCCGTCACCACCACTACCCGTCACCACCACCACTACCCGTCACCACCACTACCCGTCACCACCACTACCCGTCACCACCACTACCCGTCACCACCACTACCCGTCACCACCACTACCCGTCACCACCACTACCCGTCACCACCACTACCCGTCACCACCACTCCCCGTCACCACCACTACCCTTCACCACCACTACCCGTCACCACCACTACCCGTCACCACCACTACCCGTCACCACCACTACCCATCACCACCACTACCCATCACCACCACTACCCATCACCATTACCACTCACCACCATCACCACTCACCACTCACCACCATCACCACTCACCACTCACCACCACCACCACCACCACCACCACCACCACCACTCACCACCACCACTCACCACCACCACTCACCACCACCACTCACCACCACCACTCACCACCACCACTCACCACCACCACTCACCACCACCACTCACCACCACCACCACTCACCACCACCACTCACCACCACCACTCACCACCACCACTCACCACCACCACTCACCACCACCACTCACCATCACCACTCACCATCACCACTCACCACCACCACTCACCATCACCACTCACCATCACCACTCACCACCACCACTCACCATCACCACTCACCATCACCACTCACCACCACCACTCACCACCACCACTCACCATCACCACTCACCATCACCACTCACCATCATCACCACTCACCACCATCACCACTCACCACACACCACCATCACCACTCACCACCACCACCACTCACCACCACTCACCACCACCACTCACCACCACCACTCACCACCACCACTCACCATCACCACTACCTTGTAGCTGCACCACAATAGTCAAGGAGCTACCCGTCTTCTCCCATCAACCACATTTCCTTGCACTTTACATGGTTGAATACTAGTAGCCACCCACAACCTTGACCACTCCTGCAGATCCTACAAATACTGTAAGAGCATTTTGTCGAAACCCTCCGTAGTCGGGGAATGTTTTAGGCAGACTACCCTATTTTGTCGGGTAGTCTCTCACAGCTGTTGACCAGACCACACACTAGAAGGTGAAGGGACGACGACGTTTCGGTCCGTCCTGGACCATTCTCAAGTCGATTGATATACTCTCACAGCTGTATATGTCGTCACCCCTCCTCCCCACTTCCCCCTCCCCTACTTCTCCAGCGTGGGGGGAGCAGGAGGGGCTAGGTAGGAGTAGGTGGGGGCTGAGTGAAACGCTGCATTTCCTCTCTTTCATTCCTCCCTCCCCCCCCCCCCCCCCGCCTTCCACAACACTTCTCCATCTACCAATCCTCCTCCACCCTCCCCTTCCCTGAGGCAGCACCCCAGGCCCAGGTCTGGCGAGGACGCTGGCATATCCGGAGTTTCTCTGCCCTCTGGCACTGCTCGGGTGCCTGTAGTGGCGTAATAGTAGCCTCGGCACGGGTGCCGGGTAGACCTAGCCCGGGGGGTGCCGGGTAGACCTAGCCCGGGGGGTGCCGGGTAGTACTCCGCAGTTATCTCTGAGGAATCGGCACTTAACATACAAGCTTTGGCACTGGGTTGGTTGTGGCACCTGAACTCTAGCATCTATGGTGGGTAGAGGGTTTTCCTCTACCAGGCTTCTTCCTAGTTGCCCCACAACGTCATCGGACTGCTCCCGGAGCCCCACAAGACGGCACCGGGCGCCTTAGTAACGACACTTGACACCTTACATTCCGGTCTATGGACGGTGTAAGGAGACGGAGGACGTCTGAGTGTGAGTGTGAGTGTGAGTGTGAGTGTGAGTGTGAGTGTGAGTGTGAGTGTGAGTGTGAGTGTGAGTGTGAGTGTGTGTGTGTGTGTGTGTGTGTGTGTGTGTGTGTGTGTGTGTGTGTGTGTGTGCAACCCGTCCTGCATCCTACTCGTGTATATATATATTTAAATGTATGTATGATTATTGTAATCATTAGTGTTTATGGTTTGTGGTTCATGACTGGTGTTGGCGGGTCACCAGGGGGGTGTGGAGGGGGGGGGGAGTAATTATTTAAGGTAGTGATGAGGGTGTTTGTGTGTTGAAGGGTTGAATTAAGGGGGTAATCTCCCCCCCCCCGGTCTCTCTGTCCCTGAATGTGTTAACTCGTAAAAGCTCACTGTATCTCATGCTTTTCTGTCAATCATCTCTATTTCTCTATTTTTTTTTTTTGTTATCCAAGATGAGAGTTTATTAGAAATGGTGTTGAAATTGGTAGTGAACGTGGAAGGTGAGTGTGTCACCTTGTGGTGTGCCAGGTGAGACCAGTTGTGGAGGTGTACGGTTGAAATTGAAATAAGTTTATTGAGGTCAAATACACACAAAGGGATGAGGTAGCTCAACCTATTCTCACCCCGATCAGTACATCGTATTCATACATATATATATAGACACACATCCCAAACAATAAACATATTACCGATCATTGTGAGAGGTGTAGGAGTGTTGTGTGACTGACGGCTGGTGTGTGCTACATAGCCTTCCCGGTTTGGTGCCTTCTATTGATAATTACTTGACGGCTGGTGTCTGGTGTGCAGGACGTGATGCAGGAGGACACGGTGGAGGAGCTGATGCGGGGCCTGGCGTCCCAGCTGGCGGAGCAGGAGGACGTCGTCCTCTGTTCTGACGTGAGGAACAAGCTCTTCGGACCCCTCGAGTTCTCCAGACGCGACCTGGGTGAGTTGACTCCTCTCGGTTATTTTCTTGCGCCCGTTACTAATCAAGTGATGAAAGTGACGAGAGTTCGGCCCGTCCTGGACCAAGGAGTGCTGCACCTCACTGGGGTCCAGAACCTTCAGTCCAGAACGTTCTGAACCTCGCCGGGGTCCAGAACCTTCAGTCCAGAACGTTCTGGACCTCACCGGGGTCCAGAACCTTCAGTCCAGAACGTTCTGAACCGAAAGACGGACCTCACCGTTCCGTCTTTCGGTTCCAAACGGACCGATATCTGGTCACTTCCATGTCACGTGTGTGAGTTGCATTATTTCTTTCAGCCACGTTATTGTCTTATTCTCTGCACTAATAAAATGTTTTTGTAACGATGATTCCGTCCAGAGATTTACTAGAGGTGGTTCGTGCTTCACCAATGTACATTACATTAATGTACTAATGTACTCCGGTTGGTAGTGAACATCGGTTCTGTATGACAGAACCAACGCAAAGGGTTTTATATATCGAATTAATGCACGATTAGCAGATAGAATATAACAGTATCCACAGGGCTCTGTTCTGAGGCTCTCTTTGTTTACAATGAACATTAATGAACTCTGAAGATTCTAAAGCAGGGTGTTGTATCAGTGGAGTTAGACGTGTTGAGGTGTAGGGGAGGCCTCGGTAAGCTTCAAGACTAGTGTGAAGTGCTAGAGGCACAACCTGCTCCTGTGCCAGGTAAGTCCACTACGGGCTCACCATAGCCCGTGCTACCCGGGACTTTTTGTTCCAAGTAGTGAATCTTAAACAGCAGCAGCAGCTAGAGGCAACATTTCTCAAGCATTGATGTTTAGGACAAATGGTAACATTAGATATTGCTCAAATTATGTAAACATAAGCTAGTTTAATTGTGTTTTGCATGTGGCTCCCTTCATCCTCCCTTTACGACCCCTTCCTACCTCCTTACTCCTCTTGCCCTCTTAATCCCCCCTTCCTGCCTCTTGCAGCTTTCCCTTCCTTGTGACCGTCTGGAGAAGGGGGCGAGGCTGGCGTGGTTTCACCAGCTGTATTGACCCCTGGAGACTTACCCTCTGCCTTCCTCCCCTCCTCGGGTGGGAAGACGAGGCCACAGAGGGCTGCTCTATACAGCAGTCGCGTCGTTGACCTCTCGCAGGTCTTAGACCAGAACACCCCCCTTCCCCCCTTCCCCCTTGGAACGTACTTTCCATGGCGGGGAGTATTGCGTGCTCTGATGACCCATCGGGAAGTAGTGTGTGTGTGTATTGCTAAAGGATAAGTGATAGACTAAGAGCATTGTATCCTCTAGGGATAGGCTGCGTGGTCGTGTTAGGCCACAGCGCTCTGTCTCCCATTTTGACTCGTCCTTATGGTGGGAGTTGAGGAGAGTGATTGGTAAAGCTAGCCAACCTGACGGTATAGGTGAATATTTGGTTATACGGCGCCAGTGACCTGCTTGCGCCGCCCTAGTCATTCTTAACCAATATGGACGAGGTTTGTTGTGACTAAGCGTCCGCTCACTCATAGGCCTTTTTTAGACCGTTGTTGTTTTAGATTTAGCTAATCAGAACGAAATGTCTATGTAGCACGGGCTATGGTGAGCCCGTAACTGGAACTGAGTGTTGCCTAAAACTGCAGAAGCTGATTTAGGCTTCTTCCGAGTCTTATGTATGCCCTCCTTTCCCTGTCTTCCCTTCTCCCGTCCTATCTTCTCTCCCACCTCCCTCGTCCCTGCTCTAGGCGCCCTGGACATCACCTGCAGGTATACAGATATATCAAAGTTGTTATACATGCGTTACTAGACATAATATGTATAGGTTGTGGTGAATATTAACTCTTGTGTCTTGGGGCGGCGTGCAGGAGCGCTGAACATCATGCGGGGACGCGACAACGGTCTGCCCGACTACAACACCGTCCGCAAGTGCTTCCACCTGCCGCAAGTGTCCTCCTGGCAGGAGATCAACCCGGGCCTGGCCAGGGACCGCCCCGCTCTCATCCACCAGCTCCAGACCCTCTACCAGGACAACCTCATGAACATTGACCTGTAAGTGTCTCCTTAGGGGGGTTTCTGTACACCTTTTTTGGGGTCGGATTGTGGTAGGGGGGGGGGTGATGTGGGGAGAGGGGGGGGATGGGGGTTGCTGCGCTACCCGCTTGAGGTGGGTCATTGTTGGGGTCGTCAGTTGCCTGCACTTAGCACCCTTCTACCTTCCCCCCCCCCCCCCGCCAACACAGCCCTCTCCCCCTTACCACTCACACCTCCCCCTCCCCCATGCACTCGCGCTATGTCAATAGGCCGTTCTACCTCTTTCGCCCTTACTTCATTACACACAGAAATCACAATAGCGTGATGCATCAAATGAACAAATCCACAAGGGCCGTAACGAGGATTCGAACCTTACGTCTGAGTGCATGGGGGGAATTTCGTAAAAATCCTGGTTTGTGTCTCAGAGGCTGCAGCAGGGTCAAGTAAGATCAGTAGAACTTCTCGTTGAAATTCTTTCCCCCAGATGTTTAAGGATCAATGAATGCAACAGACGTGACAAATTAGTATGATCTTCCATAACCACAAAACAACACAACCCAAATCACAACTTTAGCCCCGAGACGCGCTCGTGCCCCAGAAAATATGGCTTTCACTTTGTTTTAGTCTTAAATACCTCTCGATAATATCGGGTTGCAGGAGCTGATGTTGCAAAATGTTGTTGGGAATATTGCTGCTCCTCACTTGACCTTCACCACACCTAGCACACCACCACGACCTGCCCCCCCCCCCGCCCCCCCAAGGCGACCAGTTGTCAACGACCTGTCCCCCCCCCCCCCCACCAAGGCGACCATTCTGTTCCGTATAATGGACTAAGCATTTGTCTTAAATATCTTTCAAATCCATCTGAAAGTGTCCGCTATACATTGGACCCGCTTTGTGAACGGTATTCAAGCGACCATTGCGAGACGCCCCATTTGACTCGAGGAATATCACAGGCTATATGGAGTTCCAGCTCCTGGACTCCGCCTTTAAGCTATTGTTTTTAAAATAATAGTTATAACATTGGAAGCTTTTGTGAGACACATGACAGTGTGTGTGTGTGTGTGTGTGTGTGTGTGTGTGTGTGTGTGTGTGTGTGTGTGTGTGTGTGTGTGTGTGTGTGTGTGTGTGTCCTTATGGATCTCCAGAGTCCATAGAACAATGGGCAGAGTTTCTTTCACCCAGATGCCCCTGCTACCTAGCAGTATATAGGTACCTGGGAGTTAGTCAGCAGTCACGGGCTGCTTCCTGGGGGTGGAGGCCTGGTCGAAGACCGGGCTGCGGGGACACTAAAGCCCCGAAATCATCTCAAGATAACCTCCTCCTACCCCGGGGTTCTTAAGGCGTCTGTGTACCCAGGGAAGGTAGTGTGTAGTGAAGATGATGTTCTTAACCAGCACACTGCTGACGACCTCAGCCGCTGAGAACACACACAAGTCTGGACTCCGTTGACCTGATGGAAGAGATTACTGCTCCGCCTGGTGGCTCAGGCGGTCAATTTAAGGAATTGTGTGACTCTGGAACCAGATTTGAATGAGTTGACCGCATAAACCTGGAGCAAGGTCACCCGGTATGTGTGGGTGACCAACATCCCCGCCAGCCCACCACTACGGTGGAGTGATGGCTCCACAGGAACTAACCCAGCGAGTCGGTGTGTTCATTGTGTACACGTGTGAATATTACAGCAGGTGTGGCACGGTCTCCATTGGTACAGTGGCGTGGGTGTTACGATGTTGTTGCTATAGATTCAGCTATTCTGAACAAGTTCCAAGTAGCACGGGCTATGGTGAGCCCGTCTGCTGAGCCTACTCTTGGCTGGCCACTAATCCTTACACACGGAAATCACAATAACTTGCTGCATCAAATGACTAAAGGAGGAGGGTGGGGACAAGGCCCAGCCGGGGACATCCCGTGTGTAGGTTCGATCCCTCATCACGGCCCTTGTGGATGTGTTCAAACTAAGGCTTGTTTGTGTGTGTTTCCCCCGAAGTGTATTTACCTTGCGCGCTCATTGGTAACTGCGCTTTCACTATTTGGAAACGTTGGCCATAGTTAATGAGCCGTGGCGCATTGTATGTGTGGCCCAAACTGTTTCGTCAGCAAGGAGGTATGCTGTTTAGTTTCCAGTTTCCTTCTTAGGCACTGTTCTCAACCCTAGTTAGGATTGAGAACACCTAACTTGTTCTCAAATTAACAGGAGTTAACGTTAAATAAATACTTAGTTTATTTAATAAATAAGTTTACTTAATAAATTTAAAACCCTAAGGATTTTAGTAACTTAAAACAACCACCTTGTTGTTTGTTTTTGTTGTAAAACAAGAAGTTAACAACCCCTAACTTTTAGAGCAACCCTAATGCCGTTTGGCGTTAGGGTTGCTCTATTCCTGCGACCTCTATTGCTTCGACCTCTATCTCTACCTTCCCCCCCCCCCAACACCTTTCTTCGGCTTCTTCCCCTCTTCCCTCATTCTCCCCCTTTACTCTCCTCCCTCATTCTATCCTTTTCCGCTCCAGCCATCCCCCCTCCAACCTTCCCACTCCGCCAGTCAAGGCCGCCGGCCCAGAAAGCGCGCTGGACGCGCTTTTGAGAACAACCTCGACGCTGGCCGGGTGTCGGAGAGCAGGTAGTGGGGGGGGGATGGGTCGTCTTGCGTCATATCTGACGTCACAAGATCGGTGTGGTTGCCTCTACCACACCACCACCGTGGCCAGCGGCTGGGGTCGTGAGCACCATATGTAGGGATGTATGGACCCAGCTGCGATGGTGGCGTCCTAGACTTGTGGGGCGTCTCCACCTCCTCCTCGCAACTGGGATGTGTGTTTATATCATATATTTACGTATGTATGAATGTATGATATATACATTCATACATTATCATTACCGAGGTTCCAAATAACATGGGGTGAGTAACCATCGGCCCGGAGGAAGCATATGGGAGTGGGGGGAGTAATATATATAGTAAAAGAGGGTTGAAAGATCTTATGTAATGAAAATATTATTGGTCCATTGATGATATCATCTACAATAATGCTTGAGAAAGGACCGTAACACACCAGCAGTCATCCTCAGGACCATTCCCCGTCTCCTAAGATCACTAAGTGTTGAGCACCCGTCGTGAATGGTCACGTATATATACAACATAGTTCCACGCCCTTACTGGCTTACACACAGCCTTGTCCTGTCCTCAGGTACACTCACATGCTCTTCACTCGCATCATCCATTCCTTCTACAGGTGGAAACTATGTTGCGTTGCTGGGGTCAGATTCACGAAGCAGTTACGCAAGTACTTACGAACGTGTACATCTTTCCTCAATCTTTGACGGCTTTGGTTACGTTTATTAAACAGTTTACAAGCATGAAAACTTGCCAATCAACTGTTGTTATTGTTATAAACAGCCTCCTGGTGCTTCGGAGCTCATTAACTGCTTAATAATTGTAAACAAAGCCGCCAAAGATTGAGAAAAGATGGACAGGTTCGTAAGTGCTTGCGTAACTGCTTCGTGAGTCTGGCTCCCTGGTTGTGTGTGTGTATCTTGTATACAAACATGGCAGTAAGGTCCGTGTGGCCATAGTCTGAAGGATCACTTTCATCTGCTGGTGTGTATACTGGTCCGCCAGCCAGCCAGCTACCTCTCGCTGCTCACCGTTTACTGCCTCTACCGCTTGGCCTCCTGAGTTGTTGTTGTTGTTATAGATTCAGCTACTCGGAACAAGTTCCAAGTACCACGGGCTATGGTGAGCCCGTAGTGGACTTACCGGGCACAGGAGCGGTGCTGTGCTGTGGCTCCTGAGTGAGAGTTCCACCCTTGTACCACTCCAGTATGTCTTCCTCACCACCACCACCACCATGGCAACACAAGCCCCTCACTCCTCTCACATCTCTCTCATTCACACGTAGATATGATAGAGCTCGAGAAGCTCAGGAATCTGTACACCAGTAGATTGACGATTGAGAGGCGGGACCAAAGAGCCAAGACTCAACCCCCTCAAGCACAACTAGGTGAGTACACGCACGCGTGCACGCTTGCTAACATTCTCTCAACAAGCATTCTTGCAAAATGCTCTTCGGAAACAGAGCCTCGGTCCTGTGCCAGGTAAGTCCACTACGGGCTCACCATAGCCCGTAGTGGACTTTTGGAACTTTTGTTAACGGTAGCTGAATCTAAAACAACAACAACAGCTCTGGTATTGTTTCATACTGTACATTAATATTTGTGTGTGTGTGTAAGCGTAACATATTCTCCCCCCACACAATGTATATATGGAGAGTATAAAGTGGAACATGTACCTTGCACACTAACAGAACATGTCTATTCTCTTGACACGCTACGTTGTGAAGCGAGCGTGTAGACTCCTTTACTGACACTAGCTTATCTCAGTCCACACAACATTGACCAAAAACTGGATTGTCCAAGCACTTGGACTGACCTGTACAGCAACGGCCTTGCCTCTCACAGGTCGGTGCTCGATCCCCCGAGGCTCCCAAGTGGTTGGGCACCGGTCCTTCCTTTCGTCCTATCCCGGGTCCCTATCCTCGACTTCCTTCCAAGTGCTTAGCACTTTCTCCCGGTAATGTATTGGTTTGGCCAGAAGCTCTTCTTCCCAGCAGCCGTCTTCGCTGTTGTTGAGTGAGAAGCACTTTACCTCAAGTGATTACCTTCCAACTTCTCTCCAAGAAAGTTTCCTTCACTCGGTGTATCCGAAGCATTCACCTCTCTCCACCCGTCTAGTTAATAACCTCAGTGATGTTATTAACTAGACGGGTTAATAACTTGGGCCAACCCAAGCAAAACATCTAACCTCACCTAGGCCTAACTATACACAAAACCATAATATATAATATTTATTTATCCAAACAGTTTTTTTTTAATATAGCGAACAAAAACATTTACGTATGTCGCATTGAGGGAGGGGCTTGGCTTGGGGGTGGTTCCCTCGTACACAGCACAGCTCCACAAAGCTGGTCTTACTAATGGCCAACCCGTATATATATATGGTTAGGACGTGTTACCTTGTGTTAATGTGTGTTAGGCTGGTTTGAGAATGGTTCTAAAGGTTTTAAGAGTCCTCTGGCTAAGTGTGTTGTGTATGGTGTGGCCTGTAGCTCGGGGGTCGAGGGTGGGTGGCCGGTGGTCAAGTCTGACTAGTTGTAGACAGTTGAACAACTGTGGTGTCAGGAAAGTTGCCAGCTGGTAGATGTGAGAGAGGGGGCGCTGCCAGCTGGTAGATGTGAGAGAGGGGGCGCTGCCAGCTGGTAGATGTGAGAGAGGGGGCGCTGCCAGCTGGTAGAGGTGAGAGAGAGGCGCTGCCAGCTGGTAGAGGTGAGAGAGAGGCGCTGCCAGCTGGTAGAGGTGAGAGAGGGGGCGCTGCCAGCTGGTAGAGGTGAGAGAAGGGGCGCTGAGCTGGTAGAGGTGAGAGAGGGGGCGCTGCCAGCTGGTAGATGTGAGAGAGGGGGCGCTGCCAGCTGGGAGAGGTGAGAGAGAGGCGCTGCCAGCTGGTAGAGGTGAGAGAGAGGCGCTGGTAGAGGTGAGAGAGAGGCGCTGCCAGCTGGTAGAGGTGAGAGAGGGGGCGCTGCCAGCTGGTAGAGGTGAGAGAGGGGGCGCTGGTGAGAGAGGGGGCGCTGCCAGCTGGTAGAGGTGAGAGAGGGGGCGCTGCCAGCTGGTAGAGGTGAGAGAGGGGGCGCTGCCAGCTGGGAGAAGCCACTGTGTAACTGCGTTGGTCTGACCGCCTTTCTGTGCCGAGTAACTTTATCTCTAACCACCACTAACAACTGTGATACAGATCTTGCATCAAGATGTGGAGGTTACAGTTCTGCAACACGAACCTACATCTTGCAAGACAGGCTGACCATTTGTCTTGAGTGCCGATTGTGTTTTCATCTTGGCGGTTTGGTGGCAGGATTGTGTCTCCGGATGAAACTCTGACAGTCTTAGACCAGGAACCGCCACACTTTTTTTTAGAACATTCTCTTGCCAATTTGATGAGTTACTTATTCTAGACTGGCGGGTGGGGGGGGGGGGGAGTGAGCCCATGATTGGGTCAAAATGATGGAGGTGTTCCGTAAACCTTGTTTCACCGAGCTATGATGGTATTCAGGGTGGTAAAAGATGATGCGTCACATATGGGAGTGTACTCAGCGGGCTCTATATCTGGGGCCAGATTCACGACAGCACTTACGCAGGTACTTACGAACCTGTACATCTTTTCTCAATCTTTGGCGGCTTTGTTTACAATTATTAAACAGTTAATGAGCTCCGAAGCACCAGGAGGCTGTTTATAACAATAACAACAGTTGATTGGCAAGTTTTCATGCTTGTAAACTGTTTAATAATTGTAACCAAAGCCGTCAAAGATTGAGGAAAGATGTACACGTTCGCAAGTACTAGCGTAAGTGTTTTCGTGAATCTGGCTCTTGGCTACTAGTAAATCCGCACCTGAGCTTGACTGCTTGAAGGAACCTACAAGAACACTGAAGGCTTTGATGACATCTCTTGAGCACGGAGTGGTCATACAAGTGGTTCCTCTTACGCCAGGAGTGTGGAGAAGGGTGTGGTACACAGGACTTGCCTCCACAAGTACCCACACGGCCGCCACTCAGCACGTCCGGCCTCACCTGAGTAGACAAATGTGGACGGCACCGGAATACGAGTGTTGGTGGGGGAGTGAAGGGGTGTAGGAGAGATAGAAAGGTAGCAGGGTGCACGTGACTAGTGTGAGTACGGCGGTGGGCTGAGCACGGAGAGAAGGGCGCCGGAATGCTTGCACGCGAGAGGGGGCTTGGTCCAGTTGCGCAGGCACTCAAACCTGTTTCTAGAGATGAACTCGAAATAAATGTGTAAATTAAAATCTTGGTGATGGAGAGAGAGAGGCGAGCAGGGAAGGTAGATCACTGTAACATCACAAGGGGGAATACTGTCTTCGCCATGGCAACCACTTTACATACCAGCTAATATAATTCATGAGAGAAAATAAAGCTGTTGATGTAGTGTGTGTGTGACGAAGGGATGGGCGAAAGGAGTAAGCACAAGTAAGTAAATAAGCTTACTACTTACAAGTAGTAAGGGTGAGGTAATTGGTAGCAAACTATGTGTAATTACCGAAGTGTTGTTATAGGATGAGAGTTACGCTCGTGGTATCCCGTCTTCCCAGTACTCTTTGTCGTTTAATGCTTTGAAACTATTGAAGGTTTTGGCCTCCACCACCTTCTCGCTTAGTTTGTTCCAACCGTTTACCACTCTGTTTGCAAAAGAAAACTTTCTAATTGTAGTGTGTAGTACCATGTAAGTACCATGGTACCTATGTAAGTACCTATGTAGTGTGTAGTACCATGTAAGTACCAGCCTGTTCTGCAGAGCTAGCTTTAGCTACTCTTTCCCATCTCTGGTGCTTCTGATCACGCCTAGTCTTGAAACTGCTTCAACTACTTTCCCTCTCAACTCATTCCAATTGGTCACGGCTCTTACACCGAAGAACTGTTATCTTACATACCTTTGGCTCATCAGTGTTTCTAGTTCTCAAGCTTGGCCTCCTCTCCTAAACGTTTCCTTTTTGTGCACTTTGGTAATGACTTTAAGACTGTTGTGATCAAGCTTTTTAGCCTTCACTTCTCTATCGTTGTAAAGTCTACTTCCCTCAGTCTTTCTTCGTAGCTCAGTCCTCTTAAGTTCAGGAACCAGTATTTATATAAATCACTGGATTTTAAGAGTTCCTTTGTGCATTTATTCGTGGAGATTCCACACCGTAGTAGTGGTGTTGCAGCTTGAAACGTCGTGTGAGACTGCTTCTTCTAGTGCCTGAAGACTACACATACACACACACACACGTTACCTAGCTTCGTTAGTAGAGCTCGTGGTGATTCTCCTCACCCTCCAGGACAAGAAATGATCACTCGACCTCCACTATACGAAACTGCTTCTTGCTGAAGGGGTACCTCACTATGTCCTGTCTCTCACTCGTCATATTGTGGCTAAGCGATGAATTCTCCTACTTACTGTGCCTCACGTGTTCCTTGTACGTAGATTTAGTCTTAAAGACCTGTACATTTTCACCAATTTGTCCCTCTTCGTCGACTTTCTTTTCTGAACATATGCTGCCTCCTTCCTCACTCTTCCCGCTGCTCTTGTCTGCCTCCTTCCTCAGTCTTCCCGCTAAGAGGTGTGTGTGTGGGTGTTGCAGGTACGTGGGAGGGATGCTGGAGACCCAGGATGGACCCGGCCCGCTCTTCACCGCCATCATGAAGGAACAGTTCCTCAGACTCCGGGACGCCGACAGGTTTTGGTTCGAGAACGTTGACAACATGTAAGTTGGACCACCTGTTACTCTTGCGCACACACCTGTACACATACACCTATATACAGACACACACCGACCGGCATCCATATATATACTCAATACAGAATATGAAATATAAAAGTTAAGAAAGGTAGCATTCTGCTCCTTCTGCGAGGGCGCAGAAGAGGCGCTCCCGGCGAGACTGACAGGTGTTAACACGCCCTCTCCTGCCCCTCAGGATGTTCACGAGGGAGGAGATCGAGCAGATCAGGCAGGTGAAGCTGTGGGACATCATCGTGAACGCCTCTGCCGTCAACCCCGACGAGATCCAGCGGAATGTGTTCTTCCATCGGTCTGGGGATCCGTGCCCGCAGCCGGCGCAGCTCAACACCAGCGAGATGGAGCCTTGCGACTTCCTTCAGGGCTTCGATTACTTCCAGGTTGGTACTTAAGAAGTCATTAAGCACTCGAATAGTAAGTTATTGCTGACAAAAAGGTGTTTATTGACACGTCTTGCGTTGAAGTTAAGAAAGTTACCTCGACTAAGTGCCATCTACCAATTATTAACTAAACATGATTTCCGGAAAATGCTATTGTTTAAATTTGTTTTATTGAGGTTAGATTATCGTTGACCTTTCACGAGCCGCAGTTCCCGGCCACCAGATCACTCGCAAAAACATAGGTGTGGTATAATGTCTTATTGAAATTAGAATTTTAAAAAGTACTCAAAGGTTGCAAGCGAGATTTCCACATGGTCCGTAAAGGGGCTGACGTTGGGGAGATGGGGGGGAGGGAGATGGGGTTACTTGAACAAATCCACAAGGGCCGTGACGAGGATTCGAACCTGCGTCCGGGAGCATCCCAGACGGCCCTTGTGGATTTGTTCATTTGATGCATCACGTTAGTGTGATCTCTGGGGGTGATGGGGTTACTTGTAACCCCTCACTCACCCTCCTCCCTCCTTCCCCATACCCCTACCTCACTGCCACACTCACAATGTGTGTGTTGATGTGTTCACTGTGTGGCATTAGGCCTCCCCTCATCTTCACTCGACCATTATTTAAACCCTCTTCCAACACAAATCTCCCTCCTTAGACCTATTAATTGTTAAATGGTTTTAGTATCTTCGGTTTTTGTCTCTCTTCACCCTAATCTTGTCTCGGTTCACCCCACTTTTCTCCCACCCCCCCTCATCCAGCTCTCTCTCTTCCCTCTCTCTCTCTCCCTTCCTCCCTCTCTCTCCCTTCCTCCCTCTCTCTCCCTTCCTCCCTCTCTCTCCCTTCCTCCCTCTCTCTCCCCGCTCTGGGGTCCGGGAGAGCCCGTGTACCGCCACCATGGAGATGAGACACATTTCGTTCAGGGAAGAGTTTACTTCCACTCAGCTGATGTGTCGGCTTCTGCCAGGTACAGTACCTGGCCCAGTACCTGCCACGTGTCTGGGGTCCAGTACCTGCCACGTGTTTATCATTAATTACACTCTTGGATCCATTTAAAAACAAATCCTTCACCCTTTGATCCGATGAGATCTTATCTTTGTAATTCTTGGAGCTGTGATGCTGGAAGCGCGGGAGAACCCTTAAAATGCCTCAAACACCGTATTTGTGACCATTTAAGTATCTCTAACCGTACAGATTTGTCCCCCTTGGATAAGTTGTGTTCCAGGGGACAAACTTAATAATAGGTCACTAACAAGGCAAGAGACGCTCTCCCACTTCTAATAATTTCACTGAAATAACTTGAAAGCCTTTTCTGACTAGACCTCAATCTCTTGGAGTCGATTCCAAATGCCAGAATGAGACCTCCAGCTCAGTCCTCGACTTCCTTATGCAAGTAGGACTTTAGGTCGTTTTTACTGATATCTCTACAGATATTTTTATTATTGATTTAGACTTCTAATTGATATTGACTTTATAAATCTGACATTTTGATTTTAACTTTTTTTTTGATTGGTAAGTGTTTTTTCTGTTAACACTGATTGGGCAACGATTGTCGGTTCTGGAGGAAGAACTTGTACGTTCTTCCTCCTATACTGTTATCATTCGTAACATTAACATTTCCACGAGGAATGTCAATGAGGCGTGGAAGACATTGAGGCGTCAGTGTGCACTTACGAAGCGCACGCATTACCCGCTGGACCACGATGAGCTTAAAAATATCACAACCAAAAGTTGTGATATTTTTCAGTTCTACCCACACCAGGTGTGGGTGGTGAAATCCACCGACAGCAGGTGTAGGTAGTGATGATCCTACTCTTCCGCTGTCGCAGGTGCGGGTTGGTGAATAAGGGTGTAGCAGGTGTGGGCTGGTGAACAAGGCTGTAGCAGGTGTGGGCTGGTGAACAAGCTGTAGCAGGTGTGGGCTGGTGAACAGTGCTGTAGCAGGTGTGGGTGTGGTCTCTAGTACAGACGAGTGTGTGTGTGCATGTGCTAGGTCATGGGAGGAGGTGGGGGGGGGATATTGGCCAAGTTTTGCCCACTGGAGAACTAGTATCAAGTGTTGGGGAGGAAAAAGAATGCAGGGAGTGTGTGTGTGTACGTACTTGGGGCCCCCAAGGTACCTCCCTCCCCCGCCCCCTACACAGTACTGGGCCTGAAACATCAGTCATGGACACTTGTCAATCACCCGCCATAACTGATAAGGTTGTGGGCGAGAAGTTACCCCATACAATTACAAAACTTGCGCAAATTGCAAGAAGGCCATGATAGTGGCTATTAGAGTTGAAGCCAAGGAAGTGCAACCAAATGCGCCTGATAGCTTGGAGGAGGAGGAGGAGGAGGCCGGAAGCAACTTAAATTAGAAAGATAACAGATTCGATACAAGACGAAAAGTATATATATATGGTTAAGCTGGCACGCGAGCCGGCTGACCTCAGTAGGTGGCGCAAGGTTGGCCGTGTTGAGGGGCAGCCTTCAGCGACCATAACACAGCGTCATCCACCGTGAGGCGGACCACACGTACGGTTGACGGCCAGTTCTCCAGCGTGTGGAGCGCAAGCCTCCAGCCCACATCTCAGGCTGAGGCAGGGCCCAGCAGCCGGGACCTGAAACTCTTTGAAACATCAGGGCGAGTACGCACGTACTCGGGCTGACACGTACATATGCGCAGAGAGAGAGAGAAACATGGTATGAGTGACCAGAGGCAGACAAAGATGATTAGCGGGTGCGGCGCGTGTCTGGGGTAGGGAGGGAGATGGGGGAGTCACTCTCGCCATCGCTGGCTCCAGTCCACCTTGAGTTATCCAGGTTTTTCGCCGAGGCGCGCCTCTCCTGGCTTTCTGTACCGCGGCCCCAGCAATCCCATTATTTACACATCGAGCGTGTTGCCGTCTGCGGCCAGGCACTCTGCGCGCACCTACCGCATTCTCACCTTAACACAACTTTTATGAGGTCGTATTTCATACATGGCCCCTCTCTCCTCCCCCCCCCCCTCCTCGCTGAATGATCTTCGTAGGTCAGAAACTTCTTTGTCAGAAAATTAAATCTTACTCATTATAACCTTAAACAGGAAAGATGTTTAAAGCTCAAAAATTTGAATAATGTAACTTAAAATGTTAACTTATATTATGGTAGTAGGTACTTTGGGATGGTAAGTGGTAGGTGTTCCCGCTCACTACACCGTTGCATATATTTCACTTTAGCAAGGCACTTCCCTTAAGAATGAAGCAGGTAAACTAGCTACAGAGATGTTAGTGTGCAATGGCCGACAATTTTTACCTTTCTTTCTGTCTGGACTCAGAGGACGCAGTCATTGCTCAAGTTGCAATTCATGATGCACATTTTATGAGCTCACGAAGTTGGCATCCTGAGGTCACGGGACGGAGACAGTAAATTGTGTAGTGGCTGGTGAGTCGAGGGTTACTTTATGGTTTACTTTGTCTGCTGTAAACTAGTAGTTAAATAGCATATGTTGCCATTGTTCAACTGTGCAAGAGGAGGATTTACGCTTGTGCGCGCGACATGATTGTTAACACATTGACTAGTAGTAGTAGGCATCCATCAGTTAGGTTAGGTTAGGTTGCACACTAACATTGACTAGTAGTAGTAGTAGGCATCCATCAGTCTCGGGAGACCATGGTGCTGTGCTCAGGTTATTGGTCTGCAGTGGCCGGGGTTGACCTCGAACCCCGGAACGGAAAATATAGTTTAATATGACCTGTACAAAGTCATATTAAAGTACTTGTCGTGTGTATTTGGCTCCGACGTCATTTTTTCACGTGTTAGTTATTGAGAAGAGACCTTAATGTCTGTCTGGATTTGTTTCACCTCTCACTGCTGTACAACTGTCAGCACCATCTCCCTATACCTCTTGACCTCCCCTCTCCCTAGCCTTCTGTCTACACCCTTTCACCCCACGACGCCTCCTCCTCCCCCTTTCCCGCCAGCCGTGCCCCACCCCCGCGCCTCACTAACGCCGTGCCTTCTCTCCCTACACACAGGGGTCGGAGGTGACGTACATCTACTCGTGCATCCTGCTCCTGGCCGTGCCGCTGGTGTGCGCAGGCGCCGGCTACGCCACCGTCAAGTTCCAGAACTCCCGCAGGCGACACTTCAAGACCAAGCAGGAGGAGAACAACAATGGCCGCAGCGTCGACAAGATGATGGTCAAGGAATGGCTTCACCAGGTGCGTTGCTGGCAACACTGATGGCCTGCACTCTGCTTGCCCGCCTGGTAACGCTGGCGGGCTGGCGAGGTCACTGGCTATATTGACAGCTATACGTTATAAGAAATAATACAGGTCACGAAAGGTCTTGGGCAACACTAACGTATGTTTTGAGTTACTTTGCTAATTTGCAATAATTGATGAGTTAACTATAAAAATATGAATATAAATTAAAATTTAAATTTATCATACGTTTGTGTCGTTTCATTGGTAGCACTTACGGGCTATTCATGCCCGTGCCACCTCTTGGGTGGCTTGATTTTCATCAATCAATCATTGGTAGCATGTATGTAAAGACGTGAAATTTATCTCGCATTACTAATATTTCTGACCTCCTGGGCCGCAGAACCACAAGCGCATCGTAAAAGTGAGGTTTGGCCCCAATCAAGAGATCTCGACCGTGAACAGGAAGGGTGAGAAGATGCGCAAGGTGGCTCTGAACGGTGTGGACGCTCTGCAGGTGGAGCTGACGCAGGACCCCCGCAGGAAGCCCATGGTCCTCATCCGCCCGCCCAAGGACCACGACCTGGTGCTGGAGTTCGACAACGAGGCAGCGCGCCGCAAGTTTATCAACAAGCTGGAACAGTTCATGAGCTCCCACAGGAAGACCGTGGAGAAGATGCACACCAACAAGGAAGAGATGCTGGCTAATGCCGAGACGAAGGAGCGCCGTCAGAAGCGCCTGGAGCACTTCTTCAGAGAAGCCTACGAACTCACCTTCGGCCTCAAACCCGGAGAGGAGAAGCGGAAGCTGGAGGATGCTGGCAACGACGTGATCATGGTGATGCGCACGTCGCTCTCCAAGAAGGAGTTCGCGGGCGCTCTAGGCATGAAACCTGACGATATATTCGTACGGCGCATGTTTAACATTGTGGACAAAGATGGCGACGGGAGGATATCCTTCCAGGAGTTTCTGGACACCGTGGTACTCTTCAGCAAAGGTACGACCGACGACAAGCTTCGGATTATCTTCGACATGTGTGACAACGACCGTAATGGTGTCATCGACAAGACTGAACTATCAGAGATGCTCAAGTCGTTGGTGGAGATCGCCAAGACTAACACCGTCAGTAATGAGGAGGTGAGTGAGACGATACGTACACGGACGTGTGCACTGAAGTTCCTTCACGTGCGCACTAACGCGCAAGAAATTTTCTTGTACTGTATTGTTCAACATAAAAGTTAAATATGAACTTTTCAACACACACACACACGAGGCTGCTGCTGTTGTATAGTTACATAATGTGATTTATGTTGAGTCATTATCATTCAATGTAATATTTCCTTACAGTTTTGCTTCGTGCAAGAAAATCTTTTGTAGTAATTCAAAGGTAATTACTTGTAGCAGCGATAAACAACTTGCTGATTGCAATCAATCTATTAAAGCAGAACTACTACTATATAATAATGGTTGTGAAACTGAGTTGGAAATATTAAATATTACATTAACTCCTGACATAATATTTGTCATAATATAAATTATGGCATAAATTTACATAAATTTAAAAATAACAAAAATTTACAGACATAAATTTACAATAACACCAGTGCAATATTCCTATGAAATGTAACTAGAGATAACAGTAGCTTCCAAATTGTGAAATTAATGTAAGTATATGTAAGTCAATATTGTACTTAAGAGTAAGAGTAAAGAAGGTTAACCGTGGGTACACGTAAAAAGATACAGTAGTAGTTCATAGTTCAGTCTAGCTAGTTCTTGTGTGTAAACCACAGTAAATGAACGCTAGGCTCACATACTGTGTTACCATATCCCATAAAAACACTGTAAACTGACATGTGTTTGTGTTGATCAGGTTGAGGAGCTCATTGATGGCATGTTCAGTTCGTCTGGCATCGACCACAAGGAGTCGCTCACATACGAGGACTTCAAGCTGATGATGCGAGAGTACAAGGGAGACTTCATCGCCATCGGGCTCGACTGTAAGGGAGCCAAGCAGAACTTCCTCGACACTTCCACCAACGTCGCCAGGTAAGGGAAGGTCCTCCTCCTTCAGGGGGGCACCAGTGGCTGACCCAGCCCCTCTTGGTCTCAGTTGGAGGGCTCTTTTTTTGGCTACAATTTAATTACAAAGAGCTATAGTTAGTGAAGGATTACATCAGAGCCAGGCAGCCAGCCAGTGAAGATTATAGCAGAACCAGCCAGTCAGTGAAGGGTTACAGCAGAGCTAGAGAGGCAGTGAAGGGTTAAAACAGAGCTAGACAGACAGTAAAAGGTTACATCAGAGCTAGACAGCCGGTGAAGGGTTACAGCAGAACTAGACAGCCTGTGAAGGGTTACGGGACAGCTTGACAGCCAGACGGTAAAATTGCAGGATGTAGAAGACTGAAATAATGACATATCTTTGTGTGTAACTCCCTGAGCTGTTGTGCTCACTCGAGTACTGACCGCAGCTTGTGGGGACACCCGGGATGTAAGTAGCTGCCTCATCCTTTGTTCTCACCAGCTCTATTTTGAGCCACCCGAGCACTCTAAGGTCACACACATCCTGGTAACAGCCCCGAAGGCCCCTGGGCGTGGCGCCACATATATTGTACCTTTCGCGCCCTGCATGATTCATCTGTCGTGTCTTAGTAGGTGTGTCTTGGCGTCATGACGAAGGTGACCAGGCACTGGAGGCGCGCCACCGTGCAGGCTCGTGGCCAAGATATTCTCGGTCAGGATATATGGTTACTTTGTTTGGGTTTAATGACGTGTACTCATTGTCCTCGAGATGACTCTAGTCGGTCGTTATATTTTAAGCGTTGATGCTATTACAAGGTTGGCTTGTATATTGCTCACGTGTGCTCAAGTCCGCTCCGTGTCTTTCTTCGAAATGTTTTGTCCAACGTAAATGTGTTGGGGTACCCACCTCCGTCCCCCTCCACCTCCGTCCCTCGTCCACCTCCGTCCCTCGTCCACCTCCGTCCCTCGTCCACCTCCGTCCCTCGTCCACCTCCGTCCCTCGTCCACCTCCGTCCCTCGTCCACCTCCGTCCCTCGTCCACCTCCGTCCCTCTTCCACCTCCGTCCCTCCTCCACCTCCGTCCTTCCTCCACCTCCGTCCTTCCTCCGTCCTTCCTCCACCTCCGTCCCTCCTCCACCTCCGTCCCTCCTCCACCTCCGTCCCTCCTCCACCTCCGTCCCTCCTCCACCTCCGTCCTTCCTCCACCTCCGTCCTTCCTCCTGAGGGACTTCCTCTACTTGGTTCTATTGACAATGCTAAGGACATAAGAATACCGGGAACTTCAGAAAACCTAACTATTATATTACACGAAGCGGCTCTTATTTATGTCCTCCCAAACTGGCTTATACACGTGTCATAACCTACGCTTGAAGCGATCAAGGGATCCCAAGGATATTACGATTCTCTCGGTAATTTGTTCCACAAATCAACAACCCTATTAACAAACCAGTATTTACCCAGGTCTTTCCTAAATCAAAAGTTATCCAATTTATATCCGTTGTTTCGTGTTCTATTTGGTGTTAATATATTTACTATCGTATTAATATCTCCTTTGTAGGGAAGGGTTAACAAACAAAACTTCAGTCGGTTTTGATTCTTCAGTTTGTGTCCATTCCAGTAAGAAAGTGAGCGAGTCGCCTCCTGTTTATATCCTACCACTCACACTTGTCTAACCTTCGCTTGAAACAATCCAACGTGCCGACGTGTGCGTGTGTTGCCGGGCAACGTGTCCAAAAAAAATCGACAATCCTATTTGAAAATCAGGATTTACTTCGGTCTTTCCGGAATTAAGTTATCTATTTTGTATCCATTACTGTGTCGTATTGTGTTGATGTATAATTACACTTAGGTAATTACTTACACACACACACACACACACACACACACACACACACACACACACTACCTATATTTATATAACATGGGGAGGACGTTCCCTATGCTATAAAGGATCAGGGTCAAACTGGCGTGAATGTCAGTGGAGCTAAACTTAGTTTATATCAGAAACTAGCGCCGTGTGTGTGTGTGGGGGGGGGGGGGAGGAAGGGGTGTGAGTCATTACCAGTGACTGGCCCCAATGACTAACAAGTCATGTTGGGGGGGTGGGCCGGGAGGTGTGGGAAGGGGGGGGAGGGTTGATCTTAAAGGAGGATCCATGGGTTTGGTTTCATTAAGGGGGTCGAAGGTGATGTGACGGTTCACCTCTGATAGTGTGGGTGGAGGTTTGATTAGGGGGGGGGGGTATGACCTTGGTGAAATTGGACTCAAGGTGCTAAATAACCCACTCCCCAGCGCGCGTGCACACACACACACACACACACACACACACACACACACACACACACACACACACACACACACACACACACACACACACACACACGTGTGCGTGTGTGTGTAATTACCTAAGTGTAGTTACAGGATGAGAGCTACGCTCGTGGTGTCCCGTCTTCCCAGCACTCTTTGTCATATAACACTTTGAAAACACACAAACACACACACACACACACACACACACACACACACACACACACACACACACACACACACACACACACACACACACCTTGTGTGTGTGTGTACTCAAATAGCTCTTGCTCTCTTGCGATAGTGAGAGTAACTACTTAAGGAAGCCAGACCGCGACTGGGAGCAGTAACACCTCTATAAGTAACAACGAGACTTACTTTACCGTTTCCTTCATTGTGTTTACCAGTGAGGTAATCCACGGAGAACGTCTCTTCCGGCAGCTGCCAGGCCGCCTCCTGTTCCTAGGCATCCTAGGTTGTGTAAAACTGTAATATCAATATAGGCATAGGTTCAGTACTAATTGTAATATCTTATACTAAGAAGGTTAGGTTAGGTTGTGGTTTTCTATTCAGCGTTTCAAGGTAAACTCAAATATTCACAATAAATTAGCATGTCACATATGCACTTTTTCATAAGCAAGATATTGACTATAAGCAAGTGCGAGAACGGGTTGCATTGATATGTATACTTATTTCCTGTTGGTCACACCCTCCATAGGGATATTCTAATCCATATTCCTGTCGAGTTATAGTTGGCATGTGATATATTATTAATTCTGTGTTGTTTTCTCCCTCTCAGGATGACCAGTTTCCACATTTCTGAGATCAGGGAGAGGAATCGTCACTGGGTGTTTAAGAAGTACGACTCGATCGCTGCCTTCCTGGAGGCCAACCGTCAGAATGTGTTCTATCTCTTTGTCTTCTATGTCATCACCATCGCTCTCTTCTGTGAACGCTTTATCCGTAAGTGCTAATATACGTCTCGGCCAGGACTCGTCAAGCACTTTGGTGTCCACTTACGAAACCTCTACATCTTTCTTCCATCACAGCTGCTTAGTCTCTAATTATTAAACAGTTTAAGATCTTCAACATTTCGCAATAGAAGGTTATTTATCATATAGATAACCTCGTAATGCCTCAGAGCTGATACACTATTTAATAAAATCAAACTAAGCCCTCTTGATCCAGGAAAGATGTACATGTTCCGTAAGTGAACACTAAACTGCTTGTCCTGGTTTTCAAATGCCAGATATTTCATTGTGTTTAGTAATTGTTGTTATTTAAATGTACATTCTGTTATGTGAGAAACGTTTTTAATGCTTATATCAAGTCAATACAATGCATTAATAATATTTTTTTTCTTTTTTGTAGATTACTCGTTCATGTCTGAGCACACGGACCTGCGACACATCATGGGTGTGGGCATCGCTATCACCCGAGGAGCTGCCGCCTCCCTCTCCTTCTGCTACTCCCTCCTCCTCCTCACCATGTCCAGGAACCTCATGACCAAACTTAAAGATTTCCGCGTCCAGCAATACATTCCACTAGACTCCCACATACAGGTGTGTGTGTGTGTGTGTGTGTGTGTGTGTGTGTGTGTATACAGGCAACAGGCTCGAATCTTTTACTTGCAACACACTTCACTTTCTTAGCAATTCTTTTGAGCAGTGATGAAGTATCTGAAGCTTTTTGTGTTAATTTTAACTTATTTAACATAAAAGGATCTAATGCAGAGAATGAGTGAAAATGTGAAATAAATTGGCATTGGCACCCAATTGGCAGTGGGTTAGCGTGTAGGCCAACCCACACTCACGGAATTATATTAAAGTGACGACGTTTCGGCTCGTCGTGGAGCATATCATGTGGTGACGAGGAAGGCTGGCAGTCTCTCCATATATATATTGACACTCTTCAACGATTCCGTGTCACTACTTTTTAACGGTTCGGGATGGACCGATACGTTTCCACTCATTTAATTTCATATGTACTCTGTGTTGTTATAAACATTTAATGCCGGTGAATTGTCCCCCATCTAGAATGAAAATGCCATATAATTTCTGGCTAAGGTCGTAAAGCCTTCCTCAGCAAATGACGAGTCATAGGCAGTTACTATCTGGATTGGAATATCGAAATAATTACTTTACGTTTGCTACCGATTTTAGCTAATACTTACTTTTCTTCTACAGTTCCACAAGATAGTAGCCTGTACTGCACTTTTCTTCAGTGTGCTGCACTCCGTTGGCCATCTAGTCAATTTCTACCACGTAACAACTCAGCCTGTAGAAAACTTACGGTGTTTGACTCAAGAGATAGCCTTCGCCTCCGACCAGAAACCCACTATTGGCTACTGGCTTTTCCAGACTTTAACTGGTATGTTTTTTTCTTTTCTATTTAGTATATTTTTCTGTTTAGTACATTTCATGCGACAGTTTGTTTTCGCTTGCATTTATTGCTTGATTTTGGAACTTCTATATGTCTTTCGAGTTTGATTATAACCTTTTCGACCTTATTTTGTTTGGGCAAGATGTATTTTATTGTTTTCCATTAATGGTCTTTTTTTTTTTTAAGGATTGACTGGCGTGCTTCTGTTCGTCATAATGTGCATCATCTTCATTTTTGCACATCCAATGATTCGGAGAAAAGCATACAAATTTTTCTGGGCGGCTCATCAGCTGTACATCTTGCTGTATGTGCTCAGTCTTCTCCACGGCCTCGCCCGCCTCACCGGAGCTCCCAGGTGGGCCTTGTGCATCTCTTGACATTTACATTCGATTTTTACAACTGTGTAAATATTTTCATGTATAGATATTAAACCTAAATCAATCGAAGAATATAGAATGTGGGGGTCAACTCTTACTATAGATTTCTGGGGGAATTGTAATTAATATAACTGGTATTTTCTTTACTAGTTTTCATAGTTTACAGTCCACCTTCCTTAAGTTGTTGCAATAATGGTTTGACAACACCAATATCACAACACAATGGTTTTCACAACACACAAATTCCGATGGCGAGCAAAGTATATGAGAAAGTAATTTATTAAGCCATTAAAAGCTAGTAAATCTGTGAGACAGGTTTGGATGTTTAACCAACCGTGTACCTACTTGTGCTCACCAGAAAATGGACTGGAGCCATTGTGCATTGCTTTGTAAGAAAATCTGTGAAGCCCTACTAATGTAATAAATGAACAAATCCATAAGGGCCGTGACGAGGATTGCTCTCGGACGCAGGTTCGAATCCTCGTCACGGCTCTTGTGGATTTATTCATTTGATGCATCACGTATTGTGATTTCTGTGTGTAATGTAATAAATGTTTCAGGTTCTGGATATTCTTCGTTGGACCTGGTATTATCTACACACTTGACAAGATCATTAGTCTGCGCACACGGTACATGGAGCTCGACATTATTGAAACTGAACTGCTGCCATCTGATGTGGTCAAGATCAAGTTCTACAGGTAGGATGGTTATATTCAGTAATTATCTCATGAAACTATAGTTCAAGTGATAGTTTAACTACTGTCCTAAAAGAGCTATGCTATTGTGGAAAATATGGACATAATTCAAATTAGTCACATCAAATTTCAAGAAGACATTTACAATTTTGCGAGTGCTCTAAAGTCTAGTGGAATTCTGTGTTCATATAATATTATTAACACTTTTTTAATCTATTATAATTTGTATATTATAAGGAATTACTCATTTTTGTCAGGCCACCAAACTTCAAGTATCTGAGTGGACAGTGGGTCCGTCTCTCGTGCACAGCCTTCCGCCAGACCGAGTACCACTCCTTCACCTTAACATCTGCACCTCATGAGAACTTCCTCTCTTGTCACATTAAAGCCCAAGGGCCATGGACCTGGAAGCTTAGAAAGTTCTTTGATCCACATAACTATATTCACGATGAAGAGAATCCTCCGAGGGTAAGCATGCTACAAGTTGTTATACATATAACTATAATATATATATACATATATACATATATATATATATATATACATATAACATATAATATAAACCGTCTGTAGATTCAGTTAAATATTTTGTTTCTAGTTTCAAATTGTCAGGAGTAGGGAGAAGGAAAGCTAATTAGGCTTGTCTAGGTACCCCTTACTCCAGTGGAAAAAGTGGAAACTTTTCCCAGTATGCGAACCACAACATTTTAACTTATTCTTGGGTGCCTATTTACTGCAAGGTGAAGAGGTTTATCAGGTGTAAGGAAACGTTCCCAAACGTCTCGTTGTGTTCCTTAATAGAGCCAGTAATCATTCTGTTTGTAAGCCAATTGTGCTCACCACTGTACAGAAATAGCTTTTCAGTAACCAAGAATTGCGTGCGAATATGGGTTTGAAAATACTTTCAGCCTATTACTTGTGAAAAATGTAATATTGGAAAATAGTTACAATATTGCTGTCATTTTGCAAAAGCATCATGCAGCTTGCAATGTTTTCGTGATCTTTGTTAGTTTTAGTTTCTGCCATAAAGCCTCAATATTTAAATGCCTGCAGATATTTAACAATTAAAATTCTTGTATAATTTATATTAAATACAAGTGCATCAATTTATTTTAATTAAAATATGCAATCATTGAACAGGAAATAATTTAGTTTTTTTTTTTTAACAGATCCGTCTTGAGGGTCCATTTGGTGGCGGGAACCAGGACTGGTACAAGTTTGAAGTGGCAGTGATGGTTGGAGGAGGTATTGGAGTCACACCGTACGCGTCCATTCTTAATGACCTGGTGTTCGGCACCTCCACTAACAGATACTCGGGTGTTGCCTGTAAAAAGGTTAGCAGTTGATGAATTCCACGAAATGTTCTATACAATATTTGCAGTTCCTGAATATCCTCCTGCACTGAATTCTTTATCATCATCTACAATTCATCCTAAATCATATATATAAAAGTTCTAGCGACTCTATATTGCTACTACTGCCTCCGTTTATCGTTATTTTTTATTGTATTTGTTAGTTTGTTGTAATATGTGCGTTAAAATAGGTACAGTACCATATCAATTCATAACATTTTGCATCATATTTTTAAATACAATGTTTAAATGAAGGAAAAATCTATGATTATTTTAGGTATACTTCTTGTGGATCTGCCCAACGCACCGTCAGTTCGAGTGGTTCATTGATGTGCTGCGAGACGTCGAGCGGAAAGACGTCACCAACGTCTTGGAGATGCACATATTCATTACTCAGTTCTTCCACAAATTTGATCTTCGAACTACTATGCTTGTGAGTGGCTTCAGCTTATTTATTTATACAGTATTTGAATTTTGTTCATATGTACTTTATTTGCAAAATTAGAGATGTAATATTTACCCTTTCATAAAAATACAAGAACATAATACTGTATAAGTTAAAGTATTTATTACAAAGGATTAATTTCCTCATCTTAGCTCCTTTCCCTAACCCTTCTATGGTCCACTTACAGGATACTCGTGCCACCTCTAGGGTGGCTTAATCTTCATCAATCACTCAAACCTTCTTTGGTGAGGGATGTGCTCTGATCTGATGACATGTAGTGTAGTTGAAGCCATTCTGGCCAAAGGAACAGACAAAGGGTGTTCAGTCGTCCTGTTCGGTCATGTTTTCCCTTAAGTCACGTGCTTTAGCATATCTGGCTCCATTACTGTTTTGTTAGTCAAACATTTTCTGTTAGTTCTGTTAGTCTTGGTCAACAAAACTCGGTGATCAGATGAAGTATTTATACAGCACTAGTGACCTCATTTCAAGATGCCACAGAGAGTTATTTATAATTAATTATTTATATATCTTTTTGTTTCAGTATATTTGTGAGAATCACTTCCAGCGATTAAGCAAGAGAAGCATGTTTACGGGGCTCAAGGCTATTAATCACTTCGGAAGACCTGATATGACATCGTTCTTAAAGTTTGTTCAGAAGAAACATAGTTATGTAAGTTCCAGTAACTTTCGTAAATTGATTTTAGTCTTATTACTCTCTAAATAGAATGCATGTATTTGTACGGTAAGAAGAAAGATACTGTACTGTACTGTATTTTATTTTGCCAAATTTGTTTTCCCAGGGTGAAACTGCCATATATATAAGATGACAATTTTCACAATGCTAAAATTTATACTGTATGTACAGAGGATTATTGTTTAAAGAGTCAAATTGCAGATCAGATGCAATGAAAGATTCAGATCTGGCTGCCTACAGTCAGATGCAACAAAAGCTTAAAGACTCAAGAATTTCGCATTAGATTAGATTTATTTTGCCAATAAATTGCATAAGATCAACAAAATAGTATTTAGAGTAATTTAATTTCATGTGATTTTTGGTATGAAAATATGCACAAGTATGTGTTCTATCATTTTCAGTATTAAAACTAGATTAGTTGTGACAAGTAATAACGAAGATTGAATGCATCATTTAGACTATAATCAGTTGTTCCATTCTAGCAAGAGTTAGCCTGACCCCCTCCTACCCCACTGCAAACACAACCTTATTGCATTATTATGTAACGTTGGCAGAGCATTGTTGAAAGGTCTAGCAGAAAAATACTGAGAAAATATTGCAACAACGAAAATAACATTGCACAACAAATTAGATGTTGTATACCATTGTAGAAAGTTTTGTTTACTTGGCTGACTCTCCTTCCCCGACCCCCACCTAGTGAACCCCGCCCCCTATATTAGTCTGTATCCTGCCCTCTTCCCCCGCCCCCTCCCTCCCATTTATAGGTTAGTATATATATTATGCAGATCATACCCGCTCTGCAGACAGAGGTAGAAATATTACAGGTACATAATAGGTACTAGGTACATAATAGGTAATAGTATAATAGGTACACAACCTGCTCAGGAGCTGAACTCTAATATTCTGTAGTTTTAATTTTACACATATTTGTGATGGTTATAAAGATTGTGACCTAATTGCAGTTCTCTGAACTTGACGGTACATGATCACAAGCAAGTAAGAGACTTGCCGGCAGTACAAATAGGCAATGTCTGCACAATCTACAAGAGGAAAACTTGGGTATTTGGCTGGGATTTTGGGTAATATGTCATCCAGAAAAATACGTAAACATATTTTGAACATTTGTGATAGTTTGCCTCGTCTTCCATTTTAATTCAGCAACCCACCCATTTAGTGACAGTATTTACATCCTGCAGAACTGGGAGTCAACTGTGTGGCAGATATAATCCTTCACAGCTAACGCTGTGTTTGTCTTGTAACGTACTAATGCCGCATTTAATATTTCCAGGTTTCTAAAATTGGCGTGTTCAGTTGTGGGCCTAATCCACTCACAAAAAGTGTCAGCACGGCGTGTGAGCAGGCAAATCGGGGTCGTCGCCTACCGTACTTTATCCATCACTTTGAGAACTTTGGATAAGTCCCTTGACGCTCATCTTGGGGTTATAACAACAACCCATCAAACTTCTCTCTAAGTAGCTTCAGTAATTACCGTGCCACCTTATGTATTGCTAGAGTTTCTGGATGCTCTGTGTAATGTAGGGAATTCTCAAATTCCATTTTAATTCCGTATTCTAGGGCTGGCTGTGAGCATATTATGCCCACACCCCTAACTCACGCTACCAGTCTCATGCTCTAAGTTAGCATTTTCTTAAATTGCAGTTATTGGATGGTGTAATGGAAATTTTAGGGTATGCCATTTTTAGTAAATGTAGTGCAATTCTTCAGCAGAAATCTTTTAAAATATTCATAAAAATTATTTATTGTATAAATTGCTAAAAAAAATGCAGCTTAGAATACAGTGGACACTGATATTTGAAGTACTGAACAATCATTGTATATACTGTATCTTGAAAATATATTTTATACGATTTAAGGATTGAATTATGATATTTAAACAGTATTCGTCATGTATTCTTAAAATAAAATATAATATATTCTTATACTGAGTAATAAGCAGTCAAGATTTATTACTTATCATTATATGCTTTTGTGTATTATGATGCATGCTGTGTGTGTCGTGCTCTGCGACTGGTTCTCCTAAAGTGTGACTGCAAATGCTCACTCTCATCAACTCGTGTAATATATGCCATAAACTGGTACACAAATGTCCTTTACTTTTAACTCCATATAATTCACTCCATCATGCTTTTGAAACGTGATGTGTACATTTCTAATAGGCTAACCAATATCTAAATATTCATTGTATATGGTTGTGCAATATTATTTTAGATTTTTTTTACTATGAACTCCATCTCTTGTAGTATACTAATCCATAAATATTTGAAAAAACAAAAAATTGACAAATTTAACACATATTTTTGTCTGCTGCATTATATGGTAACCTCAGCCATATTTTTACTGTGTAAATTTTAACGAGAGTTACTGTGCTGTTCTGTTTGTATTGCAACAATAATGCAAATTTTCTGATGAAATTGTAATGCAACAAAATTTCATGTGCATGTCTGTATACCCTGGAGAATGATACTGCCTGTGAAGAAGCTTAGGAAAGTGTCTGCACCTCACTCTTCTTAATGAATGGTTCATGTTCCTTATTCTTCACGATTTTAATGATTTTTATATGTTGCTGTGTATAAAGGCTTAGACATGTGTGTATGTTCTTCAGAGATGGAACTTGTCAATCTGTCTTCAATAAAATCTAAAACACAGTAGAGAGGATTGTATTGTTAACACCACAAATAACCGTCTTCTGAATTCACTTTGGTAACATCAGAATTTTTTCCCTTCAATATGTTTTACTTTGATTTTAGATTCCAGAGGAATGGAGAAATAGAAGTTTAGTAATATTTGGCAGACATTGACTGTCTTCCATTCCTAATGTTTAATACAAAAAATAATATACTGTAAAATACAAATATCAGATGCACATATTTGGTGTTGGCAAATTACATAATGAATGCAGTTGTTAATGTGTTAGAAATTATGGTTTTGTAATGGTATGTATTTAAAAAAATTTGTAATTCATAAATTTACTATATAATTTCGAGATTCTTTGAGGCTAATACAGCATCTTAATACAATAATTTATTAAATTTTCCAAAAAATTATGAACTACTGTATTAGTTTTGCAGTCAGGTTATATTTATATCACTAAAATTTTCAGTTCATAGAATAATGAAAATATGCAACATGCATTACCTAATATACATGGGTAACATAATAAATATTGGCCAATCTTAATATACATATTTATAGCAAGTGAATGTACAGATGGCGAACTTACATTTTTGATCTGTCATTGTGCAGCAAGTTGTAGTAGAACAATTGAAATAATTACAATATTCCCAGTTTTAACTCAAGTTTTTATTTATGACTTCAGTATTGTATCATCACAGCAGAAATTTACTCCACTAAGTGGAGGGGCTCTGCAAGGTGGTGTTAATATTACCAACTATGGTCATAATTGACAAGTTATACAAAGATGGAAAAGTGGCAATAGTGTAGACAAAGATAATGGTATTAAGTTGCATTTTATTGGCATAGAACAGTGACCAAGGGTGCTTGCAGGATGAAAAAAATTGGCAGTTTGCATTTGTTTGTTCTGCATAACACACTTGCTGTTTGTGAGAAAAATGTTCTCAGCTGCTGTCACTTAGTTGTCATTATTTAAGCTGGGTATTTACAAGCAACAAATAATATAATATGGATTTGTACTTTAGGCCATAAAGTATTAATGTATTGTCTTACTTTCTTGCGTTTCGATATTCATACATGTAAAGAGTACTTACGAAATAAAAGTACCTTGAAGATCAAACTGTGTTTTTATATTAAACAAATTATTACAAAATGACGTCTTTTAATGTGATCCAAAAATATAAAGATATATTAATTATCCTACGAAGAATTACATGCAGGTTGTCCAGTGGCACGAGCAGACTTTTGGTACCGAACAGGAAGCATTCCCGTTCAGGCTAATTGTCACATTTAACTTATAAATTTTGATTACAGCCAATGTATGTACCTCATACGTATCTACACAACACAATATAATTTAAAATAAATGTTATAAACGAAATGTTGTTTTATTCTATCTAATAACCTAGAAACGGAAAATATTGTTACTTTTACTTAATTACGTATGTTGTTTGTTTCAGTCACGCTGTTGTGATTTATTCTCTGCGTTCTTTGTTTAAGTTGAGTCAAGGTCTTCCTGCAGCTCTCGCTGGAATTTGTTATCTCACTGGTTCCTTTCACGTCTTAAGCTTATTTCCTGCGCTATGTGAGAATTCTCTCAATATTCAGCAGATAATTTACTTGTTTTCAATTGCTTTAGCTGTATTAAGTCTCGTTCACCCTTGTGTGGAGTTGTGTTCCTCGTCTTGGAAAGCTACAGCTTAATGAAAAATGTTGATGCACTTCGAGGGACTTTTTCCTGTCAAAGTTACACCTCCTCCAACCGCTGCTTGTATGGTGACTGCTTCTCTGGAACTAGAGAGATTTACAGCAGCCATTTATGATAATACTCTGCTTGTCTCTCTTGTTTCTAGAATATAATTATTTAGACACATTTGTTCATTCTGCAGTTATACTGTGAAATAAATTACAATGTCTTTCCCCGATAGGTTTAATTCATTGTATTTGATCCACACACTCAATTATAATATTTATGGAAATTACTTATTGGCAACAGATGGTATTTACAGTTTTATGAATAGTCAAGGGCAGTTATCTTGGTTCCGTTGGCAATTGTATGTACGTATAGTACTCGGACGTACTATATATACGTACGTACGTATATATAGTACGTCCGAGTAAGGTATATACGAGTATACGTCCGAGTATACGTCCGAATATACGTACGTACGTATATATAGTACTTACAGAAGTGCGCGTCAAACATAACTCTTGAGTTGCGTGTTGTGCGAGAAAAGCCTAAACATAAGTAGTTGAATCAGTGTTTTTCATACGTAAACGGAGTACGGGGTCAAACGAACACAAGCTTCGTACCTTCTGTTGATATTTATTTAAAGGAGCATTTCGTAATGCCTATGCGGATGGGTTGTATTTGGAGTATAGTAGTCTTAACAAAGTGATGAACAAAGAGTGGTAACAGACTCGTTCGAGGCCATTTGTTTCCAACTTCTCAAATTCCAGCAAGTCTTCAGAATAATTACCAGAAGCGTGTTAATTAACTTATGCAGCCTTCTCCCCAGGGCTTATGAATTAGATGTATTTGCTCGTAATATTCTCTCCTTCCATCACTGCCAACATAATAATTGCATGCGTTAAAAGTGTTGTATCTATCGTACCCGGCTGGAGTTATTGTTGTACTGGATGGAGGCTCGTTTTTTTTTATTTTTATTATTATTATTTTCTATCACAGACGTGACCACACATTTACAATGCTAACCAGCATATATACATTTTCTTCTGTAATCCATGGACAGGGTGAGAGATTTGTCAAACATACAGTTCGGGGATTTATTGAACAATCAACCACAGAAGATGATTGTAGTGCTTTTAAAATTCTAGGCTAAGCTACATACGTAAATACATAGATACACAGATTTATGTTGATTTAAGGGCGACGAATACACAGATTTATGTATGCTACATAAAGTGTTCGATGTGTCTTTTTACATGCTCGCTTGACTGTTATTGTTTTGGTGACCGGCAGATCAGCTGTGACTCACGTGTACACAGCTGGCCAGAGCGATGCCCAACACGCCTTACATTACCCTACGTCATCCAATTCCTCATGTTGAACGTAAAGGAGCCTTCAAAGATACCATCACCCAAGATTTTGTAACGAAATGTAAGGAAGTGACCACACCTCCACGTAACCGCCGCTTCTCTATCTACACCACAACACAACAAAACACTTTTGAAACCTTGTCATTCTCAAGATTAACGGCGCCTCTCGGCATTTGTTCTCGTGCAGTCATCGGGAGGAAAAAACCTTTCATGCAGGAGTTACAATAACGTGGCTAAAGAATGTTGGCAAGACCACACACTAGAAGGTGAAGGGACGACGACGTTTCGGTCCGTCCTGGACCATTCTCAAGTCGACTTGAGAATGGTCCAGGACGGACCGAAACGTCGTCGTCCCTTCACCTTCTAGTGTGTGGTCTGGTCAACCTTTCATGCAGACTGCTTGGTCTATCAAGAAGATACAGGTCGGTGTAATGTACTCTTATTTTCTGTTTTAGCTTTAGTTCATATGCAGTTTGCTTATTATAGTGAATAGAAAGTGCTTAAACTGTATATATGTATTGCATATTATAGCTTGGTATTATTGCAGGATGTAACTGTAGTGTCATTATTGGATTAATTAAACTACAAATCTGACAAAGCGTTTAATTAGGTTAGGTTTGACAAACTCAGATATAATTAGTATTTGATTACCTCACTAAATATATCTAACAGGTAAATTTCTTAAATTTTACTTATTTGCATGTCATGATGTGTGTGTAATCACCTTATCAATATAATTTTGCTATAAAAACACCGTAAAAAATAAATTGCTAAGAGAATTATTAATATTTTAAACAGAGAAGTTACCCATACACAAGAAGCAAGACGGATTACGTTTTCTTCTATACGCTAACACACTTGCAATAGTCTTCAATACAGGTAAGTCAGCCAATTGCATCATAATTGTATCTATATATATGTTATAACATTAAATTTCGTCGCTGGTGGGATCAGCAACACGTATGAATTTTTAATATTTAATGCATTATATATACCAAAAACATTCATCGTCTGTCAGAAGGTATCAAGAGGCGTATCCCGGGTCTGGGGGTTATTAATGACTGTAGCCTCTTGCTAGTTGATCAGTAAGCACTTGTGCGGCATTAATAACTTTCCAGAGGTTAATAGACCACCCAAGAAATCATTGCCTTTAGGTAATATATGGATGGAAGTACAAAATAACGTCTGTTGTCAATCAAAAGGCCTTGTTTTGTACTATTATTTTTGTAAAGGGCCTGATAACGAACGCAAGAACCAAACTAAACTTCCTATGACTAGTATAGTATATATGTCCTAAATTGTGTTAGGTCTAGAATTCTTATTTAGACCTAGAACCGGTTAGAACCATTTATGGTTACTCTGCTTCACTTTTCGCTATGCTCTGTAGAATACCCAACAGTTTAAAATGTAAACATCCAAGATACCTCTGTTGTAATATACATATGATCTAATTCAAATAGTCGAGAGCCAGAGCAAGCAAGTAAAATAAATCGATAGAGCGTCGGCCACGCTTGGGGTCTCCGTGAATGGAAAGTAAGTAATTATCACAAGGTGGCACCAAGCCGGGGTGTACCAGAGTAAACCAGCCTAGTGCATGTAGGTAACTTTGAGAGTGTTGTTGTTTAAGATTCGCTACCTGGAACAAAAAGTTCCAAGTAGCACGGGCTATGGTGAGCCCGTAGTGGACTTTTAAAACTTTGAGAGCGTGTGGTAGTTGCATAGCACGAAGCAGCGTAGTTTGATGTGTGGCTGATGCCAGAAACTGTGCAAATCTGACATTACAAGCAAACTACCTGTCTCTTACTGTACGAGCAGTACGCTCTTGTCTGCTATTTCATTTCTTATATCGAAATGAGGTTATAGTAAAACAACAATCACTTTTATTTCTTGGAAAAAAACACAATTTTTGTTTACTGTTGCAACAAAATTAAAATACTGTATATTAAAGAATCACTAAGTATAATTGGCTTCACTGTAATTTAATTTACTGTTTTTTATGGGTCGTCATAAATATTAAAAATACATTTTCTCAGACTCCTGAGAGAAATTTCTAGCCCATCCACCTGTTGAGCCAGTACCTACAGCAACCATGTGTACCATTGTACACAACCATGTGTACCATTGTACACATGGTACTGGCGTTTTGGACAATTAGATAGTAGAATTTTAGTACTATTATTGAATTTAGACAAACCTGGAGAGAGAGAGATAGAGACAGACAGACAGACAGAGAATCACTTATATAGTAAGTCATTAAGTGACTTACTATATAAGTTTGATAGACAGAGAATCGCTTATATAGTAAGTCATTAAGTGAATAATACGCCCCTTTGACTACAGCCATCGACTGAATCCGAGATGGGTTTTTTAACAGAACGATAATAAATTATAGGAAATAATTATAGATGTTATCACTTTAACAAGTTAGAATAGTTAACATGTATTGGTCAACTCGCAGGAAGCCCTTCACACCTGTTGTAGGAAGTGGTGGAGGTGTTGGTGATGTTTTTGTCCAGTGGTGCCAGCCAAACTTGGTATTTAGGACCAAATCTATCGTACATTTCTTGCTATTTGGTACTTTTGGTACTAAGCGTTGATGAACAAATCCACAAGGGCCGTGACGAGGATTATAATAATTTTCATAGTTTGATAAAAATCAAGATATAAAATTAAAACTACTCGAATACAACATAAATAATGATTTTGTTAATTTTCCCAATAAGAAAATCCCTCAGTATTTTTTTGTATTTTTACTTAAATTTATAGGATACGTGGCACATAATAACAATAGTCTGGGTTAAATAGCCTCACTTTATCTTTAAATTCTATCAATAATAACACATACTCCTACTTTGCTGGCAGGTTTTGAGTAATTATTAATTGTACAATTTTTGTGAACGAGCCTGTAAACTATTGACCTTTATAAAAGTTACGTCAACATATAAATGTAATATATCTCATTCACATAGTCTCTATCGCTATGTCCGTTCCCTGGTATCAGTCACGTTCCTCACCCCCATATCATTGTTCAGTTTCTGTAGCCGAGTGCACGAAAGTGGTGGTGTAGTAGTGAAACAGGAAGGTGGAGGTGGG